GCGATGTGATGAGAGGGGACCACGGATCCGAGGGCTCCGTGATCAGTCGGGAGCGGTGTGCGGACGCTGGGGGAGCCGCTGGGACCGATCCGCACGGCTCCTTGCAGCCCCCGAGCAGCACGCGGTGCTGCGGTCACCCGGCAGCCCCGATCCCCGCCGCACCCCCCGCATCCCACGGGATCCCCCATCTGAACCCGCGGCTGGGGACGGGCCGCGCTGCCGTGACTCATTTCAGGCCCGCGTGTTTGTTTGCCGCCCCACGGTGATGCTGCCTGGGGCCCAGGTGTGGGGCCCGCCCCCAGGGGACCCCCCCCAGAGCACGCGGCTCCCCGGGAAATCCCGGGGGTTCTCCGGCACCCGGCTGGAGTTTTGGCGGTGCCGCTGCCCGGAGGTGGCACTGAGTCACCACCGCCCGGTGTCACCGCCACGGGAGCTCCCCCCGCACGGAGCCGCTGCTCGGGGCATCTCTGCTCCGCACACCCTCGGCCCCGCAGCCTGGCAGGGCGGAGGTGCGCCCTTGGCAGCGCTCTACTGTGGCAACAGGATGTGGTTTGGGATGTGACAAGCCCAGCCGCGTGTCATCCCTCCGGCGTCGGTGTCCGCTCACGCATCAGCCGCCGAGATGTCCCCCGTGCCCGTGAAGGAGCATCTTGGTGCGGTGCCCCCGGCGGCTCCGTTCGGTGGGCAGGGCTGCCAGGGGGTCACACGGACAAAGCCCGGCCAAATGCTCTGCTCACCGCTGCAGATACGTACCCAAAAACATGGTTAGCTGCTTCGGATGGTGCAAGCCCTATAGGAGGAAAGGGCTCAGGCTGACTCAAATCACTAACGAAAGTGGGAGAAAAGAGATTTCAGACCTTTGTTTTCATGTTTATTAAAATCTCACTGCTAGCCCTCTGCACCCGTTAACTTTGCGAATAGCTTATTTTCGGTGCCGGTGCTGTTACTCTCAGTGCAGAGAAAACATGCTCAGGCAGCTGCAGGCTGGTGTTGCTCATCCTGTGGCTGAAAGGGGTGATGCTAAGCAGCTGCAATTTATTTAGTTTCTTGATTTAAAGTAATCTTCTAGATCTTGGTTAGATGCAGAGGTTGCAAACTCCAGGGATGTGCAGGATGTCAACTCTTCATTCTTTGTGTGCATGCGTGTGGGGAGGGATTTGGTGTTTGGCTGTTTCGTGGTCACAGCAAAAAGCTTGCATGGAGTTGCAAATGGTCTCTGCAACACAACTGCAAAGTGTTTTGGAGCTGTGAATGTTGCTCAGATTAGAGCTTAAGCCTGGAAAGATGAGGCGATAAAGAAAGAGAGCCTTGCAGCAGTGGGTGCATCCCTTGGCTGCAGTGACTGCAGGAGGCTGAAGGATGCTGGCACCCCCTGGAGCAGGGCTGGATGGTGCTCTGCAGGTTTCCGGGTGGTGCAGAGCTCAGTTTGCTATGCTGTGAGATGGAGGAGTGCTTCAGCTTTGCATCATGATCCTGGCTGGCAGCAGGGATGCGCTGCTCTGTGCCCCATGGCTGGGGCTCTCCTGCAGCTCTGCAGGTCAGGGCAGAGGAAAGGGGATGGCAAAAGTGCTGGGGGTGTTTTTGCAGGAGGGGCAGCTGTAGTGGCAAGGAGGGTTTGGGACGGGGGCTCATCGCCAGTGCTGCAGGAGGATGCAGCTGGCCAGGCCCTCCTCCCCCCTCATAGATCAGGCCACCCCCATTTGGAGAAAAGCAAACCAAAACTGTCACCTTGTGCCTTTTGTTGAACGTGAAAACAAAGATGTGAGTTTTGCACCGAGAAAGAAGAACTGAATCCAGACAAAGCACTGCTGCAGCCTTTGGGGCTGAAGGATGTGGCACTGACTGCCATCAGAGTGATGCTCAAGCCATGATGGGGACCAGGCTGTGGCACCTGTACAACAATGTGGGAACTGCTGTAGTCTTGGTATTCTGTAGCTCACCTGAGGCAGTTTCAGCTTTTCTTTTTTCTGGGGGGGGTGACCACTGATCTGTTTCAGGTGTGCTGAAGCTGCCAGTTTTTGCATTATCATTTTTATCATTTTGCAAGAGGAAAATGTACATGAGTTTGCTGGGGGAGAGCTGCTCAGGTGAGTGCCCTGATGGGGTGTTTTTGAGCTATGGGAGGCTTCTGCTGCTTCTAAACACCTCTCCCATCCCTGCTTCGAGCTTGTGCTGGGCAGTAAGTTAGGGTATGTAAGTTTCCTATGGAAACCGTGTGTCCTCACTGGCATTACATTGCAGCCTGACACATCTTCCCTTGCTGCAGCTTTGCAGCCATGCTCAACCAGGGAGATATTTTGGGCTGGAAATGCAGTGGAAGAAAAGGAGATGTGGATGCAGTCAGTCTCTCCTCTCCTCTCCTCTCCTCTCCTCTCCTCTCCTCTCCTCTCCTCTCCTCTCCTCTCCTCTCCTCTCCTCTCCTCTCCTCCCCTTCTGCTTCCTTAAGAGGCTCAGTACTGTGGAACTAGACCTGCTGTGTGGACATCTATCACCACCCCATTGCCAGCTGCTTCCTTGCGAGGTCCCAGCCCACCCCAAACCATCTCTGGTGGTCTCCAGGTGACCTCCACAACCCCACCCAGCACTGTGTCTGTCCTGCTGTGTGTACATCTTTGCCCTCCTTGAAGGCACAGCTGGTTTGTGGAGCTGATGATGCCCATGGGGCTGCGATCAGAACCTGCACAGGCTGGGAGCTGGGGAAGAAGCTACAGCTCCCAGTGCATTTCTCAGCACAGAGACTGAAATCCCCCCCAAAACAGCCTTCCCCTCTTTAGGATCTTGCTTTTTGCTGCCAATTAACGCCATGTGAGAATTTGTCTCCCCAGTGACATCTCTGTACAACTCCTCGGATGCTTTAATTGCAGGGCTTTCAGCAGTCAGAGCGTGATGAAATGGTAATTGTTGTGATTGTGTGCTGTGTGCTAGCTAAAAGACGTGGCTCTTTGGTGAAGCTTAATTAGGAAATAGGGACACTGTTGGGAATGGCTCTGAGATGAGATTTTCCTAATGAAAGCTACTGAATAGGCAGCCTTGTAATGAAGAACAGGCTCATGAGGGGCTCTGCCAATTGCTCTTCTCTAGTGTTAATTTTGTATTTCCTCCCCATTGTTTCTAATACCCTCTTGGAAAAGCTTGAAGATAAAATGCTTTATTTTCTTACGGCTCGTATCCTGTTTGGCAAGCCGTGATTGCAGCGCGTGCATCTGGAATACATGAGTGGACAGGCTGAGCTGCTTCAGACTTCTTCATCTCTGATTTCAAGCTCTGCCATTGAAGAAGAAAAGCAGAAAAGCCAACCTCAGCTCACAGCTGGGTGATCTGCTCCCCGCTGCAGGAGATGCTTGGCTGCTTGTGCAGATGTGAAGCAGGAGGAGAAGGCAGCACAGCGCTGTGGGATGCTCTCCTGCCAGGAGCAGCGCTGCGTGGTGTTGTGCTTTCTGCTCAGATGTGTTCCCCTCACAAGTATGACTGCTGTATTTAGCTGTGCTTCACCTGCCACATCTGAGAGCTCGCCCAGCTTCCAGTGTTCTGCTGGTAAGAAGGAGCCCAGCAGTCACAGCCTGCCCAGCAGCTGCGTGGCTCAGCGCTCCCACCTGCACTGTGCTGTTCCCGGAACGGGGCCGGGCAGCCCCTGGGTGCTGAGCGGGCTCCAGAGCTGCCTCCCAGCTGTGCTGGGCAGTGGAAAGTGCTGCAGATGTTTTTGGCTGACAGATGTGAACGCTCACCCCATGGCTGAGTTAAAGCGGAATTAGAAAACACTGAGTGATGTGTGCTGTGGTGCTGTGATGATCATCAATGAGCTGTTTGATAGAAATAGGGCTTGGTTCTCCCTCAAATGCCTCATTTTATTGTTCCAAATTCCCACAGTGCTTGAGGTGAGAGCAGCTCCCGAGATGCTGCTTGTCCCTGTTTGGGGTGGCTTGAAGCAGAAGTGAGCAGCACATGTGATGAGGACGCATGGGACACAGGGCATGCAGGAGTGTTGTCCTGCTGTGGTCACAGTGTCAGCTCTGAGCCTGATCTTGTGACCTTCCCCAGCAGTGCTGCAGTGTCTCCTTTTTTTTTTAGAGTTTTTTGTGCTGTAACACTTGAAATACCCAGTAGGCAGCCTTAGGATAAAAGCTGTGTTGGTGTTGAAATGCAGTGCTGCATGGGCAGGCTCACTTAGAAAGGACTGTGCTGTCTCAAACTTGCAAAAGAGTTTTTCACCCCTTCTACACAGCCCATTCTTGTTTGGTCTGAAATTAGGATGAAGCGCTTCCCCTTTCAGCTGCCTCCCCCATTGCTCTGTGTCTATTTAAACCCCCTCAGCTCTGAGGCTTCTCTGCAAACCAACACTCATCCTTTCAGGTGGCATTTCCCTTTTCTCATTGTTTCTGGCAGTGTCTCCACGTGAAACCTGACAAATGTTTCTTTGTTCTCGGTGCCTTTGTGTTGATAAACTTTGCACACTGGTGCATGTGGGGCTGTGCAAAGAAGTTATGGTGGCACTTGGCTGTGGGTCCTTTGTGTGTGACTGAATGATGTCCAGCCTGGTTTACACTGATGCTGCTGCTGCTGCCTGTTCCTGGGCACGGATCCTGCTCATCTAAGAGGTTCCTGTTTGAGGTTTGCCTCATTGGATTGATCAGCTGGATGGCAAGCAAACCTAACAAGCTTGATGTTCTCACCGGACTGCTCTTCAGGTGAAAATTACTCTGGGGTTGATCTGGTCTGAATGCTGAACAGTGCATAATCCTTTATGAACTCATGCAGAAACAAGAAATGGCTGCAGGAGTCCACGTCTGTTGTTACTGGGTATGCAGCTCACCCGGACCCTGGGGACCATGTTCGTGGTGGTCCCTGAGCTGCTGGCTTGCAGTGCTGAATTGGAAAAGACTACAGAGATCATCTAGTCTAACCATCAACCCATCCCCACTGACCACATCCTTCAGTGCCACATCTCCACGGTGCTTGAACACCTCTAGGGATGGTGACACCCCACCGCCCTGTGCAGCTGTGCCACTGCATCACCACTCCTTCTGAGAATAAATTGTTCCTAAAATCCAACCTGAACATCCCCTGGTGCAACTTAGTTCCTGGGGACTTGGCTCTTGGTGATGAGTTGGGATGAGGGCATGGCTCATCATGGGAGGAGCCGAGGACTGGAAGGAGCTCAGGCTGTGTCTGCTGCATGGGTCTGTGCATCCTTTGCTCCTGTGACACAATAGGAGGTTTGGTGACTTCTCCTGTGCACGGGAGCTGGTTAGGGCTGTACCAACCCTTCTGCCCAAAGCAGGTCCCAGGCCCTTGGTGGGCTTTGGGAGCGGGTGTCAGTCACCAGCTCACTTGCTGTTGGCCTAAGTGTGATGGGGAACAGCCAAAACCATTCTCACCATCATCCGTCTTCTGTGGAGCTGCCATCAGCAGTGCTGGAAGGGAACTGAAGTTTTTGGGCAACCATGCCAGGGACTGAAAATACTTCTGGGTTCCCAGCAGGGCCTCCACAATGGCAGGAAGTAACTTCTACAGCTTCCTTTGGATACACGGGCCTTTGGGGGAAAGATTTACTTGCTTGTTTATGCTGTAAGTTGATCTATTTAGTGGGCTTGGCATAAGGCTCACATAAAGCCCTCTGGAATGATCACGCTGCCTGTGTGCAGTGCTTTGTCTCTTACTTGCTTTGTTTCACAGCTGGAGTAATCAGGCAGAGGTGGAGCCAATGGAAATCTCACATGTAAACTTGTTTTTCTGAATAGGCTGAAAGGAAATAGTGTGGGCTCTTATTGCCCTTCATCCCGAGGGGGTCGGAGGAAAGGCTGTGAGGGGCAGAGGTTGGGGTCTGCACCCAAAGGGACCCTTGGGTGGGTGGGCTCTGCGCTCCTCTGCTCAACTGAGGCACGAGGGTGGTCCATGGCCCCACCAGAGATGACAGATGGTTTTGCAGCATTAAAAAAACACATAAAAGGGAACCCCAAGAAATAGTGAAGCAGTGTAGCAGAGCAGGGAGAAGCAAGATGTGTTCCTGTGAGAGAAACGAGAAGTCTTAGGGAGAATTTGGAGAGGCAGAAGAAAGTGCTGAGTTGGTGGAATGAAGAAGAGCCAATGGGATTTTTTTTGCTACATCGTGGTATCGCTGCTTCCACTTGTTTGATGCTATCCTAAATACACTAGTGCACACACCTGTGACCTTCCACTGTAAAAACACGGTGCTTTCCCTGAGGGTCATGCTCAAAGGAGCCACAAGTACCCAGCATCTGCTCTGGGAAGCCTATGAGTTGAGATCCATGCCCAGAGATGCCCAGAGTACTGGGCTCCCTCTCAAGAAGAAGACATAGCTGCATGCCTTTGGGAAATTCTCCCTGCTGAACATGGAAATACCTGGAGACTTGTCCCCCTTTGGCCCACTGACTGACCTTTGGAGGCCTCCCAAAGGTTGTGATCCACTCCCCTGGGCTGAAGTCAGCCTGGGGAGCACTGGGAGGAACCACCCAAGCTGCCACTTCTCTGCCAAGTTCTACCTTCCCTGCTGTGCTGACGACAGAGCCCAGCTGGGCTGTGCCAGAGCCCAGTGCTCTCTCCTACCTGCCTCTCGCTGGGGCTTCACTTGGCTCTGCCTGTCGTCAGCTGTGGTGTTGGGTGAAACTTCAACCTTTGCTCTCTTGATCAAGGCTGATAGGAGCTAAAATTAACTCTTGCATCATGTGGTGAGGGGTTTTCATAATCGATGCCAGGAACAAGCACGTTTCCTCTCTGAAAAGTGAGTATGCCTAACTGGTCTTTTCTTACTCAGATCAGATGTGTGTCATTTCTGCTGATTTTTGATGAGAAAAACAGAGGCTTTTCTTACACTGGCTGAGTTTTGTCCAGCCCACGCAGTCCTTAGTGTGGTTATGGATGGGGCTGGGGGTGCTGATGCCTCTTGCACCCCTCAAAGACTGACTAGGAGCAGGTCTGGATGCTAGGGAGATGCAGATGCTGCTGGTGGTAGGGCTGCCTTTGTGCAAGAGGAGAGGTCAGCGTGGCTCTGTGCTCCTGGCCAGAGGGAGCCTCGAGCTACCAAAACCTGCCAGCTTTGGTCTGGTGCTCTGGAAGGTGAGGAAACTGTTGATAAAGAAAAGAGAGAAGGGCGAACAGAGTAGGGCTGGGATTTTTTTTTTTTTTTTCTTCATTTGTTACTTTTTTTTTTTTTTTAGGAAGTTACAGTTTGGTGTCAAGATGTACTTTACAATGGTGAAATCCATGAACTTCCCACTGCTGGCCACTCATCTGGCTGAGGCAGGGGGGTTGGCAAGGCAACAGGACAGGAGGACTGTGGAGGGTCTGTCCTTGGCTTTGGGGCATGGACCAACTCTGCCACTTCCACTCGATGCAAGTCTCTCTGCTCATTATGCCCTTGATGACACGGATGGCATTACTAATTCTCTTCCCCTTTCCAGCAGCTGTTTTATGATCACATTCATCCCATTTCTTTGCTCCCAGCAGCAAAGTGTTTTCTCCCTGTCCTTCAGTTTGAAGCTTGTGAGCTTTTAGTGAGTACTATTGGTGGTGATAGGTGGATGGTTGGACTGGATGATCTCGAAGGTCTTTTCCAACCTTGGTGATTCTGTGATTCTCTGATTCTTGTCTTTCAGCATGACCTTAGAGATCTCACACCTAAATGATTCTATTATTCTTGCTCCAAGAACAGGACTTTTACAGTTTCCTTCAGAAATCATTGCAAAAAGTAATAGACTCAAATCAAACATTAGCAGGGGGACACACTCTTTCCTGTGCCTCTCACTCCCCTGAAGCTTGGTACTTGAGCAGTTTAAGAGCATTGTGGCACAGGAGCTAAAAATGAGATATGAAAGGTGCAAGGCCACGCTTTGAGCTTGCCAAGACAATGTCTTGCCAATGGCTAGAGCATCTCTGGTTGAAAGGACCTGCAGTGAGCAAAAAGAGAAATGTCTTTTTGGAGAAAGAAAGAAGGCACCATCACAGCTTTTCTCAGCGATGGCTTGGTGGGACTAATTTAGAGATTCTTATTTCTTGTATCATGGCTTTAAAGGGGCAGCGAGTGGAATTCCCCTGCTGTCTGTTTGTCAAGAGTACACTAGATCCTGTCCTGAATAGTGGTGACTGCAGAAAAGAACATTTTAAAAACGATTGGTGAGGAAGTCTCAGCCTGCAGACTGGGCAGTCGGTGGGGAGCTCTGCAAACATCTCTGTGTGGGACACTCAAACTGTGCTGCTTTCAGTTTCCCATCAGCGTTGCTGCTGGGTTCTGATGCTGGCCCTGGTCTCCATGCCACTGCCATGACATCTACGTTTGCATGGCTGACATTGCAGCGAGGGAATCTCTTGCTTGTAGAAAGTCCCAGAATAATTTGTGTCTTCAGCTTGCGTGAGTCTGCATCACATGCTATTTCTGTTTCTCAAGAAAATGCAGTTACTCCAAAATGCGAGCTGAATGTGGGAGCAGTCAGCATCTGATTGTCTTAGTCCAGGTCAAGCTGCAGAATAGCTGCAAAATGCTGCAGTCCTCACTCAATTTCTGCTGAGTTTATGTCTCTGGGAGGTCCCCTGGCTTCCGAAAACTGCTGCTGGTCTGCTCAGGGCTAAGGAGGGTGGCTGTATTGCCCTGCTGTAATTAACTACCCATGGGTACCAGCCCATGAGTGGTTGTTGTTCTCGTGTCTCCCATCAGCTCCCATGTGACCACAGAGGTGGACAAAAGTTCTGCTTTATTTTCACCCCATGTCTTTGTGGATTGGCTGGATTGCAGTTTCCACATTGCTCTTACTGAACATTGCTGGGACTACTTTTCTCTCGCTTCCTCCCCTTGCAGCTCTGACTGCCCAGGGCCAAATTCTGAAAACATCAGAGGGGTTCCTCAGGGGATCCATGAATCTGATGGTATCCCCTGCAAATGAGGGTGACAGTGGTTCATGCTTCTTTACTTGGAAGATGACAAAAGCATTGGGATAGGCTGTCCAGAGAGGTAGTGGAGTCTCCTTCTCTGGAGATATTTAAAATCCTCCTGGACACTTTTGTGCACAGCCTGCTCTGGGGAACCTGCTTTGGCAGCGGGACTGGGAGGTCTCCAGAGGTCCTTTCAGAGCCCCTGTAACTGTGATTCTGTGATTCAAATCAGGACAGCTGCTCATCGTTTTGCTTCTGAGATCATCTTTCTCTTAAATAGCTGAGAATTGCCCAGAAGCTGCTGGCAGTGCCATCAGCCCTGGCAGCTCTGAGGCCATGCAGGTTCGGGTACCTGTGTCTCCACGCAGCTGGAAGCAGCATGTTGTTCTGCATGCAGCCAGGTGTGGCCTCTAGTCAAGCCTGGCTGCAAACTCAACCCACTTCCAGCTCCAACACCGTATTCTGCAGCCTGTTTTGCCTTGCTATCTCTGCTCAGGCTTAGGAGGATACTTTTATCTGCTCCATAACATGGAAATGATCTCCTGCTGCAGCTCCCTGGAGCTGGAGGCTTGTCAGTAACACTGTGATGAGAATGAGAAGCTCATTACCAGCAGAAATGCTGGTTTCACTCTGAAGTCACTAGCATTTTGCTGTGGTTGACTTCTGTACGTGTACTAATGCATTTCATCTGTGAATGGCTCCATGAAATTGACCTTATTAAAGCACATACTTTGTTTTCAAAGGTCTCTGCTGTAACAGCAGAAAGCCAAGTGGCATGCTTGTGAGGATTTCTTGGGTCAGTGACTTACTGACCCAAGAGCTGCTCCTTCCAGCACTCCTCCCCAGAGGCCTGGGGATCTCAAGTAGACAAAGTTTGCAGAAATGTTGACTTCTGCTTTTGTTTGTTATGAATCAAGTCTGAGGGTGAAAGAAGTGTAAGCTAAGCTGAGCGTATTGCAATATCCATGTTTCCATTATTGCACTATCTGAGCTTGTTGCAGGCTCTGAAACGTTTGGTCATGCAACTGCTGGGTAAGGAAGGAAGTGTTGTTATTCCTGCTTTGCATGTGGGAAGCAGCTTTGGGGGATAAGAATGGGAGCTGTCTTGCACAAGGATATGCCTGCCTAAAAATTGGGGCCTCTAAAGTCACTGAGTCTGCTGGCTGCTCCTGGAAGGGTTCAGTCTGGATGGGATGGGATGGGATGGGATGGGATGGGATGGGATGGGATGGGATGGGATGGGATGGGATGGGATGAGCTGACTGCTGCGTTAGGTGCTCTGTCTGTCCATAGCTGTTGGCCTGCTTAGAAATTCACCTCATTTTTGCAGAGGTAAAGTTGCAGGGGATTAATCCCATCTCTGGGTTGGACCCAGAGTAGAGTGGATGTGGATTCTCTAAAGTCACCAGATCAGTCTGTTGCTCAGTTGCCTTGCTTCATGCCTTGAATTCCATTGCTTTTTGACTGGATGATAACCCTGAAGTCACCAGCCTTAAACACCTTGATGTAAGAAACAAGATGCTGACTTTTGGCCGGTATTCCTTGCCTTGAAATGGTTGTACAGCAGATTCACAAATGTATTTGTGGTGTAAAGGACTTTCCTCATTCACTGTGTTGGTAAGAGCCTTCATGGGGATGCCAGCAGGGCCGTGGTGCTCAGAGAAGAGGCTGAAAACCACTCTAGAAGAAAGGGCATCTAACAGAACAGTTAGATTGAACACTGATTGTCCTGCTCAATCCATTCTGGATGTTTCTGGTGTTTGTTTTGGGCAGATGGCATCCTGTGTGCCCAGAGCCTTCCAAGACATCCCACCTCGTGCTGGCTCCTGCATGTCCTGTTTTCTCAGCAACTCCCAATGAGGTGCAAATTATGGATGTTGCATTATGACCTTGTGACTGTCAGCCTGCGCCTTGCTGCTAATTAATGCATTGTAATTCCTGTGCTAGTAGATATTGCCTCTAAAAATATCTGGAGGTGCCTCACTGGTAAGGTTACAGCAATAGGTTTTAAGCAGGCAATATGCTAAACACTTTCTGGCTGTCGTGTAGGAAGAAGCTTCTTGTAGTGAAGCTTAGCAAGATCCTTATGGGAAGGGAGATGGGAGATTTTGTCCTTTAAAGATGACATTTCTGTTGTTGTCAAGGGAAAGCCAAGTTATTGCAGCTGTAATGAGAACAGTGTTTAACTGTTGGAGTAATCCTTGGAGCTGCTGTCCAGATTGAAAGCAAGACCCAAGTGGGTGAGGTGTGTGATTCCTGGCCTTCAAACACGTGCTGGGCAAGAAAATGGAAAGCCAGGAGCAAAGGGATGGAAGGAGGCTTTCCCCCAGTGACTGGTTGGTTGTAGCTCTTTGGGGGCTGCATGAGCCCAACCAAGCTGTGTGTGCTGCAGTTTAGGAGCAGCAATAGAAGTCATTGCTTGGATCTGGGCTGCAGCTTTTGCGCATGGTTCCCTCCCCTCTGCCGAGCTTTGCACCCTGCTTTGCTTTGCACTTGCTTAAATGCGACTGTTAGGCTTCCTGGAACTCTCTGGCCCAAACCAGAGCCCTTTGCACGCTGCCAGCCCGCAGCACGGTGTTGTGGGTGCCACGTGTGGCCCTCGGATGTGGCAGGAGTATGAAATCATTGTCCCAAATAGGAAATGGTGGCACAACTTCCCCCAGCTCCAGGGCACTTCTCCTTTTGGCAGCAGCATGAGCGGGAAGGTGAAGTAAGAAGATCTCTGTAGAAAATGCAGAAGTGCAGGTTGCTCTTGGAAACTGTCTCGAGGGGCAAGAACTGAGATCCAGCCGGTGGGGGGAGGATGCTCCTGGGGGGGTTCATGGCTTCCACCTCAGGTGGGAAGGAAGGATGTTCAGTGCACAGTGACAGGCACAGTCTCTGCACTGGGGATCTGCTTTCTTCTGGCAGTTCCTATCCTCCTTGTGCTGTCTGAGAGGTCCCCTGCTCATGGCACACTGCCTGGTCCCATGGGGTTATTCCCTGTTTCCTGTGCTGCTGCAGCAGCGAAGGGATCACCCACACCAGGGCTGCATTCATTCAGATGCCATCAGCTGCTGGGGAAGGACAGAGACTGCCGGGGCTTTGGCTGGAATTTTTTTTGACCTCATTTGGTTACTGAGCCCTGTGCACCCAGCAGTAGGGTGAGAATACCAGTGGGAAAGTATCTTATGCAAAAATACCTAAAGCCCATGCATTTCCAGATTCAAAGATGACTTTCCAAGGTCACAGGGTAGGTCCTGCAGTACACCCTGTGCCACATCTGCAAAGTCCTTGAGCACAACTCAGCCGTGGCATGAGGCAGCTGATGGAGAGCATGAAACTGTAGGGTCAGGATGAGTGCGCTGGGAACAGGGGGTGTGTTGAAGGGATGTTATAGCTGAAGATGACTGAGGATAAGGTTCCAACACCTTGTCATGGGCCAGTATGCAACCAAAGTGTCCCTGTGCAGATGTGGTATTTCTGTAACTTGTGCTTTCCCTACATGAGTTTTTCTACAGGAGAAGGACTGGCCTGGATATAAGATTATGGAACATATATGTATGTGTGTATATGTGTATTTGCACTGTATGTATACGAATATGCTAGATACAGAATGTTTGTAGTCTTGGTTAGAAGTGTCTGTCCAGTCCTGCTTGCATGTGCTTGCTGACATTTTCCAACATGCCAAAGGTCCTAATCTAGTTCTGCTTCCAGCAGAGTGCTGAGCTACTTGCAGGGCTGGTCTGTTCTACTCCAAGTTGAAGTGGTTGAGCCCAGAGGCAGTGTTCACACCAAGCTGCTGGGGTGGATGTGGGACTGCAAACAGGCAGAGCAGTCCAAATAAACACAGCTATTTGGATTGCTTAGATACTGTCTGTCAGTGTCCAGTTCGCTGCTGAGACTGCTGACCCTCTCAGAGGATGTTTTCACTTATGACAGCATGAAGGGCGCTGGTCTGTAGCACTGGATGCCGATCTCTTGTATCCCAATCTTAATCTGCAAAACTGGGGATGCTGCAATGGTGGGGAGCAACCCTACAAGTTGAGACCACCAGAGATGAAGCAAAAGCTTCCAATGGTGGTGGGAAAAAAGGTTTTGCATGCACAGGGCTGAGCTCTGCTCCCAAAGGCAGGAGGCAGGTGGGAGAAGGTGCCCGCCTGTAGCCTGGGTCTGTGCTGGGTGAGCTGTGCTGGGGGATGGGCTGCTATGGGAGTGGGGAGCACTTCCAGCCTGGCACTGTCTGAAGGCTCAAGGTTTCAAAGCCATTTTCTTCCCCAGCTCTAATTTTAACAGCCTCGCTTGGGATAAGTGCTTTGAAGCCTTAATTGCAATTATGAATCTTCCTCTGTTCCCAGCTTTCCCCTAATTGGCTTCCTGTGAGAATTTACAAAGCTGGTAAAAACAAAACCCTCTGGTTTGGTGAGGGAGGCAGTGCTGTGAGATTGCTGAGCCCAAACACAGCGCGGCTCAGCCGGGACTTTGCGCTGCTGTGCCACGAGCAGAGCCGAGCCGGGCACTCACAACAGTGCCATTATACAGAGCGTAAGCTGATTTACATGCTTGCATTTGGAAAGTGCTAATCTGTTTAGATATTTTTTTTTTCCTTCTTTTTTTTCTCTTTTCACCCCTCTCTAATCTTCTGCGGGCCCTGCCAGGTTCCCAGCTCCTTTGGCTGGAATAGGGCCCCAGCTCAATCCTTTATCTGTCTATTTGGCAGCCCCTGGTGAAGTCGTTAGCGAACGAATGACACTTTTTTTTTTTTTTTTTTTTTCCCTGCTCATTAATTAGATTTACAGAGCCGAGCGGCTGCTGCAAAAGTCTGGGCAAGGCAGTTCTGTATTTTGTTTCTTAGGAATTTGGGTTTTGAAAACTACCCAAAGCTTTGCGTTGGTTCTGGTGCTGGCGGTTGGATGTGCAGCTCCGGTGCGTGTGCTGCTGCTGGGAACACGTGTCCGCTCACACACAGCTCCATTCCTCCCATCTGCTGCTGCATGAGCTGTTCTCATCCCTCTCCATCGTTTTTTTGCTGCTGGAGGATGGGTGTCTGGGTGCTGAGCTCCTGAGGTGCCCGCGGCAGGATATCTTGGTTAAGGCAAGTGGTTTTGTGGGTTGCAAATAACCTCTGTGACATATCACTGTTTCTTTTTTCATTTAATTATGCATTTCGGTGTGTCCTGCTTTGCCAGCTCTACCTGCCGAGGTTGTAAACGGGATTGGGATGACTACGTCAGGAATTAGAAATAAGGGGATGGAAAGACCACAGTGCCATCATTCCTCTGCCAATGAATCCCAGATGGGGTTGCTGGGTGTGCTGCAGCAGGGCCTTGCTTCTGCTCTGGAAGGAGGAAACTGAGGCACGGAGAGGTCACTCGTCATGCCTTGGCATTGGGTTCTTGGTTTCTATTGGGGGCTTTCGGTTCCTTTTGTAACCACTAGACAGCTCTGTTCTCAGCTCATGGGGTTCCAGTTGGTGGTGCCCAGGCGCTGGGCACTCTGTGGTACCACTCCATGCTGCCATCACTTTCATCCCATTTATAAACAGACAACTGGGATGCTCTGAGTGTGGTGCGGCCACACTGCTGCTTAAAGTGAATTCACCACGGTGAACATTTGAGGGCTCTGAAGAGAGAAGGATTCTTGACAGGTGTTGGAAGTCGCAGTCAGTGCCAGCTTCATCAGTCAGCACTGAGGGCAGCGCTGGCTGTGCTGCTTCCCTCAGCTCTGGATTCATCCGCTTCAGGGCTGCATGGGACCAGGCTGGCTGCAGGCAAACCCAAGCATGGAGCTCACGCTCTGCTCTCCTCAGCTGTCTGCTGGCTCTTCTCAAAGTATTACAGGATTTGCCTCAGCTGATGCAAAATCCAAGCGCAGCCTTTAGAGGTGGAGGACTGCATCTGCTTGAAAGAGTTTTGTAGGGGAAGAGCTGAGGGAGGGGGTCAGAAATAACTGCAAAATGTAAAAAAAAAAAAAAGCAACAACAACAAAAAAAAGCTGTGAGGAAAAGCAATTTGCACTTAGCCCACTTGAGAATTGCCCTCCCAGAAATGTAGTGATGCGATGCTTATCTACAGAAAGGTCCCACTGGCGGCAGTTTGCTGTTGGGGCAAATTGCCTGCTAATTTCTACTCAAGCTAGCCAATTAGTCAGCTCATTACACCTTCCTGACTGGTCTGGCGAGTGCAGCCCATTGCCAAGGGGACAGGAACTTCCCAGGGAGGTGTCGGATCAGATTGCTGTGCCTTTTGATCTCTCTGGTGTCTGGCAGAGGTGAGACATGAGCTCCAACTGTCAGACCCGGAGACCCACTTCTTTGGAGCCAATGAAGACAAAAGCAAAGAGACCTCTTGGGGTTTCCCTGGAGGTCAGAGGGAAAGGAAATGGGTCACTGCCAGGCAGGGAGAACAGAAGGGGGATCCGAAAGGTCTGTGCTATGAGCCAGCAGAGCAGGGATCTCGCTTTGCTGAGCCTCTGCTCTTCTATTTCTATCAGTAGTATCTATTTCCAAGATAGTATTATTTCATATATTCAAACAATATGTTATTTCCATTTGTTATTATTTCCAAAAATGCCCTTTGAAGCACCTCTCACAACCACTTCCAAGTGTCTGCCTCCATGTGTCCTGAGCTGTGAGTGTCGTAGATGAAATGGAAAGGGTGGAAAAGCTGAGAAAAGCTAAGGATAAATGTAACGGATGCATTCCATGCAGCTCACAGAGGGTGTAACACGCTGGCTTTAAGTTGGTGGCAGGATCCTGGTGGGGCTCGTGTCCTTCCACCACCTTCCTCTGTTCCACTTTGCCTTCCCCACTGGCTGTGGTTCCATTGCTGCACAGATAGCAGTACGTTTCCTTCCTTGAAGGAGTGATTTGAGAATAAAGGCATTAAGTAGCATACAAGTCTGGTGCTGAGGGAGTGCAGGGAGTGAATAATTCCCAAATACTGCCATTCTGGTGTGCAATTTTGGGTGCTCCAGTGGGTGGCTGTGGTGACCGGGTATAGAGGTGGAAATGGAGCAAAAGCTGATGGGAAGGGGCACGTTTGAGGTTGGCTCCCATACCAAGAGGGGGCTGAAGGCTGGCTCAGGGTGCAGGGTGGAACTGGAGGACTGTAGGGTAGAAGCCAAGATGAAAGTCATCAGAATCAGGCAGGGACTGCATGAAAAGATGTTCAATTGAGCCCTTTTGGGGAATCAACTCTGACTTGCTAAAAATACAGCTTTTGGTAGCCTGGCCTGGCCAGACATGTTTGTGAGTTTGTGAGCTGCAGCTGGAGCACAGCTCGCTCCCATCTGGGCTTGTGGGTTGGGATTGGCAAGGCTTCACTCCTTCAGTGACTGCTGCTGGTGTCAGGGGTGGCTGGCCCTGTCCCATGCTAGGCTGCCCCAAATTGGCTCCAGGCTCTCCTCTGGGTGATCTTGAGGAGGGGAATGCAGCTGACCCTGCTCAAGGGCATCAGTGCTGGGATGGGAGCATGGAGGAAGCAAGAGTGCTCTGCTTGTGTTGGTGTCCTATGTCCTTCAGGAGTATGGTCCTTCCTGAAGGTTGGTGGGCTTTTCTGGCTTGCTGGGAATTAAACCCAAGGAGCATCAAACCCTCAGGCTCTCTCTCCATGGGTCACCTCTTGGACCCACATACCTTTTGGACCACTGTCTGTGTGTCTTGGTGAGAGAAGGAACCCAGGCCATGAGCTCCCAGTGATGTGAGAGGTTTTTGCTGGCAGCATCCTCCTGGTGAAATCAGCATTCCTACCCACCTCCTGCCTGGGACCAGGTGGAGCTGGGTGTCTGCAGAACACCCAGCTCCAGCAATGTCCTTAAAGATGCCATCTGCAATGAGGATTTGGATGACACTTTGTGGATTGGCTCCCCTGGATGGATGCTGGTGACAAATCCCATCATCACTCAAACTGGTCTCCCAGTATGGGGAGCTGGTGGTTTCATCCCAAGAGAGGTGAGTGTCAGCTTTGGGTCTGGGAGTATGACATGTGCCCAGGGCTGTGCCTTCTCACTGGGGCTCCTGTGGGTTAACTCCTGAGTTAATCTCTGCTCCGAATTCAACTTAAACATTGAAGGGTTAAAGGCTTTCTTCAGGGCTGGGGTCTCTGTTCTTTTATTAGATAACAGAACGAACAACGCGAAGCACTGAGCTGGTTCCTGCTTCAAAGCAGTCTGTCATTCAGAGCAGGTATCGCCATTGCAACACAATTTTAGAACAAAGAAAGAAAACAGAGACAAAACTAAAAACAGGAACCAGCAGATAAACAATCCGCTGGTGCTGCTGTGCTGAGCCGAGCTCCTTCCTGCTCTCAGCCATCTGGCAGGTCAGCGCAGGGGTCTGGGGGGTTCATTGGGCCTGGCTGTCCTGCTTGGCTCTTCCCAGTGGGGAAGCCAGCTGGGAAATGGTTGAAAAGCTTCTCCATTCATAGAATGAAATAAATAATGATAAATAAAACCAAAGAACCTGCAGCACTGCGGTGTGAGCAAAGCACCTGGCTCTCCTCTTCCTAGCGTTCCTGGGAGCAATGCCACAGGTTCACCACTCTGACTTGGGTGAGATGTTTCTCCCAGCTGTGTTTGTGAGGTTGGCATCTGGCTCCAGCCCTGAGAAGCTGAATGTTGCCAGAATTTCCATAAAAGGGGTGCTGGTGAGCCGTTGAGAGCAGGAGTGTGATCAGAGCTTAGGGCTGCAGCTGCCTGGGGCTGCTGGGATGGGAAATGGGCACAACAGCATCTCTGGTGGCTGGTGCCTGTTTGGTACTGGTGTCCCTACCCAGTGCCATGGAAAACTGGTGTCAGACTGGGCCCAGGAAGGCTGACTCAGTGGGGGTCTCTTAGCAGTGAGAACCGAAATACCCGTGCATGGAGGAGGAAAATATTTTATTTGATCTGAAATTACAAGTTTCATCTACTTGTGGCTTGATTTTTACTTTCAGGGTTGCAGTCAGATGAGTGTGAATGCTGTTTCAAAATGATGGGCTGCCAAGTTTCATTCTGAGCCCTTGAGGACCCCCTCCCCCCACTCCTCCCCTTGTGCACCCTCCGTGCAGATGCGTTTTGCTGGGGTTCAGTCCGACTCGCTGAGGAGCTGGCTCACTCTGAAGCAGTTTATCTGCTTTATTCTTTCTGCCAAGTTTCTTGCAGCCCTCTTATTGCTGCTACCGTGATTTAGCTTGCTAAACCCACAGCCCTCTGAAAACTTGACCCTAGGCAGCATCTCTAACATCACTGGGGCAATGGACTCGGTTCTGTCAATGTGAGTCTGGCTCCCAGTGCTTTGAATCACGGCTGAGGCTCCATCAGCTCAAAGACAGAACAGGTGTGCTGTATTAGGGCTGAGCATCTTTATTTTTTCCCATGGAGCCTTCAACTTTGAGTCTGAAATGAAAAGCAATGGCAGTGTGCTGGAGGTTTTTTGCCCTTCTGGATTTTACTTTTCTGGTGTTCTCAGCGTCTTCACCCCATGAGCCTTAAGCTCTGGCTGCTAATACGGTAATCTTAGGGATGGAATTTGGGAAATCCCATTAAATAATTCCCCTTGCAGCATCGCGAATGGCTCAGATGGAGGCATTAGCACGGAGCTGACGTGTCTTAGGCATTCCTCAGCTTCCTCTTGGCTTTCCCTTCTCATCACCTGAACTGGGCCAGCTTAGCGACGGCCGAGCATGGCAAAGCTGTGCTGCAGGGAGCTGCATTAACACAACCGCAGCCCCGACCCCAGCTGTCCCACTTCAGCAGCTCAGAGCGCTCCTCCCCAACCAGCAGACAGCCTCCCGTCCCCTGCCCGACTCTCTCAGCGGGCTGCGGCTGTGCAGAGTCGAAATCGAGTCCGCCGCTTCCCACGGCTGCACCGCTTGTGCTTTCTATGCACGGGGACGGGCAGGGCGCTGCGTTTCTTTATTTGGTGTTGCCGCCCGGGGCTACGTGATGCTGAACGCTGCCGGCTCCGACATCACACACCGCACATGTGGGAGCTTCGTGGTTATTCCCCTCCTCCCTTTCTCCCCCTCCCTGCTCTTGCCTGGTGGCAATGCAGCCTCGCAGCTTGCTGCGTTTCCCTGGGAGCAAAGCGTCGCTGCTGCAGGGCTGGAGAAGTTGCACTGAGCAATAAATCAGCTCTGCCCAGACCTTAATTCCTCCCTTCCCTCGGCTCCCCTGCCCAGCTCTGGGCATGTGATGCTCCCTGTCTCCAGGTTTTGGCTGCTTTATGACATCTGGGATGCTTTCTTGATGGACTTGCTGTTGCAGACAGAAGACTGGATGCAAAACCAGAAGTTGCTTGTGATGGGGAAGTGGCTCTTTGCCTTCATTCTGCTCCTCCTGGGTGACTTTTTCTCATCTCCAGCGAGGATGATGCTCCAGCCCTTGGCTGCCCTGGTCTTCCTATTCCTTTCTAGGCGGGGGACCCCCCTCACCTCCTGACCAGAGATGTTTTCATTCTGCTTCACAGTGGTGTGCTGTGGCCCCGGGCCAGGAGAGCAGCAAAAATGATGGCCGTGCAGCTGCTGGGAGCTGCTTAGCACTCGAACCATCCTGCAGTTTGCTGCTTAGGGATGCTGTGTCCCAGCTGTGGGCTTATGAGGTACCCCTGACTGTGCCTTGCCACAGAGCCATTTCCTTTGGCAAATTTGTATTGTGAAGTGGTCTGGACTTCTTTCTGTAAAGAAGCCTAAGTGTTCTGCAAACACTTAATGTCTGGGTCTACGGTTTGTCTCATCCAGTCCAGATCTGCTTAACTACCTTTAGGTGCCCTTTAATATTAAAAGGTCTCTGAAACCACTGTTGCACGTTAGGTGCTTCCCCTGTCTGTGATGGGAGTCTCTCATTCAGCCCCGTTCTCAGGCACAGTGAGAGCAAGGAGCGAGCTCTATGTTTTAGTAAGCTTTCCAGTTCTCATGACTGCTGGTGGAAATGAGCCTTTGCAGCTCAGCAGGACATCACTGCCCTTCAGAAATGGGCTGTTCCAGATGCTGATGGGCTTTCTCAGCACTGTCCTGTCCTTCCCAATGGAGATACATCCCAGTAGCTGGAAACCTCAAAGATGGAGTTTGTCAGTGATGAACGAATGCTTATTCCTGGCTGTAGTTCTGCACACTCCATGTGTCCATGTTTTCCTGTGTTCCTCATTTAACACAACAGCAATTTCATCTTTATGTGGTTTTGGTTGTCTCAAAATCTCCCTTGGTCTTGATGTCTCTATCACAAGTGCACCACTCTGGATTTTTCTCCTTGGTGTTGCTTTGTGCATCCTACTTCCTCACCACCAAACCCCTGAGTCTGCATTGCTCCTTGAGGCTGTTTCTGCTCTGGTTCGTCCTCTGGTACCCTGATGGCAGCAAGTATTCACAACAATAGCCCCAATTGTATTTGGTCACCCCTCAGTGTGCCTTTCCAGCCCTGAAAAGGAGGGAGGGGATAGCAGTACATCCTTTTTCCTGTTGGGTTTTTTTTTGCTGTTTGTTTGCCTGTTGGTTGTCTTTCACTATGTGTAAGTACAGCAGATAGCATCAGGGGGGCCTTGGTGTGATTCACGTTTGTCACCTGCCCTGAGTAGTTCAGTTCAGTGCTTCACGGATGAGAAGAGGGGGCAGTTCTGTAGGTTGCACTTCTCAAGTAACCCAAGGCAATTTTTTCAGCCTTTGGGCTCATTCTCAAACCCGTACTTTTACTTGGCAGCAGTAGAGGCGGTGCTCTGGGCAAGCCAACATGTAGTGGGTGGGCGTGTGGGTGGTTTGCAGGGATGTGGGTGCTGGCACCCAAGCAGATCTCACTTGCATTGCCCTCTGTGGCCTCATCAGTGGTTGGTGTTGTTGGTTCTTCTGTGCCAGGGTTCAGTAAGAGCTCGGTTTGGGTGTTATCAGACACGTTTTGGAAAAGATTATCCATGTCATAGCGTCACAGAATGATTTGGCTTAGAAGGGACCTTAAACCCACCCAGTTCCATCCCTCTGGGCTGGCTGCCTGGTCTTGGGCACTTCCAGGGATGAAGCATCCACTGCTTCTATGGTCAGCCTGTATCACGGCCTCTCTGCCCTTACATTGCTTCTCTGCTACAGAGGCTCCCTGGAGGTGAGGTTTTGTAGCCGAAGAAGCGAAGGTCAGTCATGATCCCCACCACAGCATGAAGTGCTGTTACTTCTTGGGTTAAAAGCAGCTTTTCTGCTTGCTCAGCAGGACAGGAACCTGTGGGTCTGTAAGGAAATAATGTGGTGCCGGGGTGTTTGCATGGTACGCTGTCCTTTGCAAGCGCCCCAAAAGGATGTTTGTCAAACCAGTTGCCTCCAGGATCTTCTGATATGCTGCCTTTGTGCAGCTTGAACAGGCATCTTATCACCTCCATCTTGCTGCTCTTTGATGCACCAGCGCTCGCTTGAGCTGTAAATACATGATGGTTGAAGTTTGAATCTTAAAACTTGCAGGTTCCTCCCCTCTTTGCCCTGATTTCTACAAAGACTTCCTCCAGCTGCTCCTGCTCTCAGCTCTGAGTTTCTATCTTTGGTTCCTGTGCATGGTGTAGAGGTGGCAATAAAATCCTGCAAGCTAAGGATAGTTAAAGCCAAGAACTCAGTGTAATCTAAGAAAAGCAGTGTGTTTTTGTTGATGGGGCAGAAACCACGCATGCACCATCTGCTGCAGTGCAATGGGGATGCAGCTCCCAGGGTTCCTGTGCTGCTCTGCTCCTGTTGCACCCTCCAAGGAGGCAGCAGGCTGAAGTACTGCTTAAGGGACATGACCTTGGCCAAGGTCCCTGCTGATGCACTGGTATGAGGACCTTGCCCTGAAAAATAGCTCTGCTTAGAATCCATTTGCTTTAATTCCCAATTAAGTGCTTTTCCTTCTCTCGCAGCATCAGCCCAAGCTCCTTTTTCCTTTATCCTCATCAGAATTGCTGCCCTTTTGTCCTCAGTGCCCTAAGCCCTGCTGCAGCAGTAAGCCAAGTGCTGAGGTTCCTCAGTGTGCTAACCCATGGGTCAGCAGCTTTGCAAGGCAACCCACATCTGTCCTTCCATCCTTCCACCCGCTGCCACTGCCCATGGACCTGGGCAGTGTGTTCATGACCTGCTCCTGTGGGTCAAGCACTTGTTTTTCCTTCCAGTTTCCTGCTTGGGATGCTCAGCCAGTGGCCTCAAAGCAATCAGGGCAGGAAAGGGAGTTATCCTGCTGTGAAAGTACCCAGGGGCTTTCTCTGGCAGAGCAGGGCTGTGCTTCCCAATTCAGATTTCCCTGCAGGAAGGTGGAGGACTTTCAGCCACAGGAGATACTGTTTTACAGGATTTGCTGTTCTGGAAGGGGAGATCTCAACTTATTTGATGTCTGCCTGCATTTTTCCTCTTTGGGAAGGTGGCTGGGAGCCAGCAGGACGTTGGCTGCAGTGCTGCCTCTGAGAGCATTGGGGTGGGCAGGCAGGGATCTGCTTGCTGCTGGGGGCAGTGCCTGGTGTACCCACAGAAGATGGTTGAATTCTCTTCACTCCTTCACTTGGGAAGACCAACACTGGATTTGGTCTTTGAGCATCTCCTTCTGTTCCCACCTAAGAATGGTGTCCTGGGCTCCACCACAATAGAAGGAAATCAGGGAAGTTCTTTGGACAACAGGGCTCATGTTGGCCTTAACACAGAAAAGTGCCTCACCGTGCAGAGAGGCAGATGTGTGCCTCCCAAGTCACCTTCCCACCTGCCTTGTCTCCACCACGTGGAGCTGCTGGTGGCCTCTCTCATCTCCTTGACTTGGATGCGCTAAGCAGAGGAGCAGCAGCACTTGGGCACCAAGGGCTTCAGGTCTCCTTTGCTCTAACCCTGAGCTGGAAAGCTGAGAAAAGGAAAGGTTTGAAGGCACGAAAGGCACCAAAGGCAAGTAGGGTAACCGCAGCCTGTCTCAGCCAAGTGGAAAACACATGTCATGGAGCTGGGAGTGCCTGAGGGCTCTCTGTGGCCTCAAGATTCATAAGCCAGCAGGAGAATCCGTAAATAAATGGACTGATTTTTTTTGCTTCAAAAACATCAGGATTTTGGCAAACCTTCTGCCTGAAAGCAGAAGAACAGCAATCAGTGAATCCCCTCTTTCTGCCAAAGGATGAGTGCTTACCTATTCAGTGCGGGTTAACAGGAAAAACGTGATTGCTTTGCCCACCTTTTTAACTGTGACACACGGAGGAAGCAAACTCAATTGGAAACCTCTGCATCCATTTGGGTTGCTGGGACAATTTCACAGATGCTTTGGGATCCTTTGCCCCATGCTTGTGGCATTGCTTAAATTGTTGCTCATTTCTCCAAAACAAAGTCATGAGGCAAGAATGCTCTGTTCTGAAGGAAACCAGAGGGCTCCAGTGTTGTCACAGCAGTAATGGTGGTGGTGTGATGCAAGGCTGACAGAGCCAACTGTACTCTTGTCGTGAGGTCCCGTGCGCAGATCCATGCTGTGGTTCCTGGTTCTGCTCTTGGTCTGTTCCTCCTGCCACCTCCATTGGGGCAGTGATGGAGGAGATGTTTTCATGGGCAGATGTTTGCCTCTGCTAAGCAGCCATATGTATGGACTGGGTGATGGGAGACAGAGAGGGCTCCAAGTGGATGAGGTCTAGCTGTGCTGTGAAGAATTCCAACCCCTTCTGACTGCTGATGTAGCACAGGGACTTTATGGAGGATAAGGAATGTGCCTGGAGAGCTGAAGGTTTGCCTTCTTCTCCCAGCTGTGCCACAAGTCGCTGTGGGACAGCAGAAAAACTGCTTGATGTTTCCAAGCATTGACTTCTCTCTCTTTTAAGTGGTGATGACAGCTTGCCCAGTGCTGGGAGGCTGCTTTCACAGTGTGCACTGTTACTACTGGAGAAGAGAAAGCAATCTTGTCTTAGGGACATCCAGGGCTTGAAGTCACATAGTTGATTTGTAGGACAGGTGTCCAACCTGTGAGCAAGGGGCAAGAAGGCAGGGAAACCCACTGCTTCTGCAACATGCTGCTCTGCTTGGACATGAGCCAGGCAGTCACCAGCCTTGGTGATGAGGGTTTTGGGGCACCCCGGGCATGCTGCAAAACGTAACCACTGCTTTCACCCTGCAGTGTCTGTGCCATCCCTTCCAAGCACCTCACACCGACCGGCCAGCCTGCAGGGAGGGTCAAGATCTAACAGCTCTGCTGCTGGGAGTCTGGCTGGAGTTGGGGAGTTGGGGAGAGGACAGATTTCTGTGGTTTTTTTTTTGTTTTTTTTTTTAATCAATGCTTACCCACCCTCCCATCAATCTGAACCCTTGACCTTAACCCTGGTTTCTTCCCAGCTCTGTGGGAAGTCCGATTACATCCAGAACTGTCCCCTGCCTTGTGTCATTTTGTCCAGTGTGGGTGGAAAGGAAGGGAGAGTTTGGGGAATAAACAGCAGAAGAGGTTGAAAAGTTCCCTCTTGCTTGCGGTGAACACACAGAGCTCTCCCATGAAAGATGCCTCTGTAAGCACCCCTTGGGTTGAATCCTTGTGTGGTCCATAGCACACCAGGGAGAAGAAAACAAAGGCTCTGTGTATTCTCCGGTTTAGAACGTAATGATAAAATCTTTGTCATCTTTCGTCCTTATGTTCCCTGCCTGCTCTGTGCTGAGGCATTGGGAAGGGGCAGCTGGGCTGGCACAGGGTTCTCCTCATCACCCTTTCCCTCCGAGAGCTGAGCTGTGCTCCGGAGCAAGCTGATGTGCAGGAGGTGTATTTCTGTGAGCGGGGTGTTGGAACGGTGCTGGTGAGTCATGCCGTGCTCTTAGTCACTGCTTGCACCACGAGTCATGACTAAGGTGCTGTGCAGCTCCGCTCTCATTCAGTCCCCAGCACAGCAGCAGGGCGCTTCGCGGGCGTTCCTCACACTGTGGATGTGCAAAACTTTAGAAGATGTAAGAAACTGTGGCAGTGGCAGGTGAGGCAGGAGCACGGGAGCCTTCTCAGGGCAAAGGAGAGATTTCCCGTGCAAGAGGCAGATGGCTTCACTTTCACCTGCTCGGAGCTGAGGGATGGGTGAGTGTTGGGACCAGAGCCTCTGCCCTGGGGTGGACTTTCTGAGGGATTGATGGCAATTAGGGGCTACTTATTAGCAGCCAACATTGGGCAGACTGGGGAAATCAAATATTTTGGGGTAGCTTTGGGAAATGTATGACTGTCCTGGCCAGGCTGACAGCAAAGGTCTCATTGACAGGTGTCTTTTGTAATATTGGCAAGTTTCATTTCCTTTTCCTGGAATATTTTCATGCACTTGTGCCTCCTGTAACCAAAAGGGGAGAGCCTTTCTCTGTGCGCTGGTGGCAGAGAGGTGACTGTCCCAAGGTCTCTGGGAACAGCAGAGCTGGCACTGCAGGGGATGCTGGACTCTCTGCCCTGGGAACCTCTTTGCTCAGCAGTGGAGCAGATCTAAGGAGAGATTCTGGGCAAATGGCTTTTGATTTCCTGATGTCCCAGCGTTTGGAGTGGGTGGGATAAAATCCTCATGCCCCCAGTGCAATCTGTCTGAGGTCTGGGCTGGCACCTGAGCCGTGGGGAGAGCTGAGAAGCAGCACTTTGTGAAGGGGGCACAGCCAGACACACAGTCCAGAGTTTCACAATGCCTGTAGATGCTGGGGCTGAGCTCCCATTGATATTTTCCAGCATTGCCACAGGGCCACATGGCATCCTGTCTACGTTGGCTGCACGGCAGCAAGGGGACAGTGCTGGAGGCACCAAAGATGATCCACGCATAATGCAAGCAATGGAATCTTAAAGACTGCCATTGCTTTTCCCCTGCAAGGTTCTGCAGCTGTAAGCAGTGCTATCTCTGATGGAGGCTAACCCACAGACATGTAAGTGGGACTCCATCTATGCCGCAGACGGAAGCAATGAGGCAGCAGATATGCCTGCAGTGGGTCGGGCTGGGTGCCTTGGTCCCAAAGCCACTCATGGTTGGTCATGGATGTGTGCATCTCCTTTTCTTTGCCATGGTTGGGAGGGACTGGGAGAGAAGAGGACAACAAAGGGTGAATGTCATTGGCTTTGGGGTTGGAAAGGGTGCCAGGAGGCAGTAACAGCAGGACATTTTACCAGGAGCATCTTGTGTGTTCTACGGAAGTGTCACCATGCTCTCATCTAAGGGCTAACCTTCTTCCTTCTCTTTCCTTAGGAGATGAATTAAAATGCAGCACACCACGTGCACAGAGGACAGGATCTACCATGCACTGGAGAGATGTCTGCATGGGCTTAGCAGAGATGCTGTTTCCAGCAGATGGGCTGGTAGGTGACCTGTTGGTCGTGAGCTCCCTGACAGCCTTGATGGAGGCAGACCCTTTTGTTTCTGCATGCTTTACCCTCTTGTTACCTGACCTACCTGGACGGGACAGACCTGCTGGTGCTCCTGGGGGGCTGAGTGGCCTTTTCTCCCTTCCAGCATTCAAAGTTAGAGGTGGGATCCAACCTAGTCCATCTTCCTGAGTTTCTCATAGCAGTAGGAGGCTGTACTGGTTGGCTGAACAAGTCAGGTTAGGTCATACAGAGATGCACCCTGAACAGAGCAGCCATTTGTTTTGCCAGGTGCCCATGCATGAGCTGGCAAGAGGAGGATTCTTTGCTCACTCCAAGGAAAGGCCCCTTTATGTAATCAGCCAGGAATACCATGCTTTGGGGCATAAAGATCTCAGAACCTCTGGGCGTATCCCTGCTGCATTGTCAGAAGCAACTGTTGAGATATTGCTGTCGGCTGTTTAATCTGGTTCAGATACCGTGCTGGCCATAAAGATGGGAGCCTCATTCAGAGCACAGGGTGGCAAAGGTGAGGGAAGAGCTGCAACAAGCAGAAGCCATTCTCATATATCACATTTTGAATTCTCATCCTCATACTTGCACTTCCAGGATGCAATTAAATCACTCCTGTATCCACCTGGGGATGAAAGAAATGAACGTGAGGGGCTGTTTCTTTATGCCTGTACAATTCTTCTGCACACCTCCTCTGCTTTTCCATTATGGGTCAAGGAGGAGCTGCAAACCATCTCCTGTCCGATGCTGAATGCCAGACCCACAGGAGCAATGCTTGCTCTGGGGCTGTAGCATCACTGCAGGGCCTGCTTCATGCAGATATCACCAGCACCAGAACCCTTTGAGCCTCCACATATTCTGGGCACCAGTTCCTGAAGCGTGACCTACATTCCTGGTTCCTGGAATGCCTCTGCCCAGGCAGCTCTTTGTGCCACTCAGAGCTCACCTCTTCCCATCATTACAACTCATCATTCCCCATGTCACTCACTAATCCCAGCCCCTCAGTGCTGGTGGCTGCATGATGTAGCCTTTTAAAAACCACTCTGCAATGTTTCCAGCTCGTCAGCAAAAATAAGGCCGACCTGGGCTGTAGGTGGAAGGATGGGCTTAACCAGGAGCAGCAGTGCTGCCCAGCCCAGCAGCTGCTGCTTCGTGTCCTACCCACTTGTGGTTGGAATAGGAAGTGCTTTGTTATTGCAATAAAATGGGTTAGGGAAAACAGAGCATAGTAGAACATATCCTATTTATTTGCACAGAGTGGGAATTTTTTCATGTTCTCCTGCCTTTGCTGTGCAAGAAGCACCAGTTTTATTATGGCTGTCCAGTGCCAGAGCTATGCTGCTATTTATGGCAAGGCTCTGTTCCTCCTATTTTCCTTGAATCTCTGTCTCATTCTTAGCTGGGCAGCATCCTTCTCCTTTTTCATTTTCAACTTCTTATATCACTTTTATTTCCCAGTTTACTTGCACTCCCCTCCTTTTTCCCAGTGCGATGCACCAAAATAAGGTGTTCCACGCTGCAGCTCATCGGGCTGGAGCACCGCTGGGACTTTGCTCAGTTTTAAATTATTGGAGGTCTAATTTCTGCACAGTAACTTTGCAGGAGGTTGTTCTGGAGAGGATGAATAATCACTTCCGATGTGACGTTTTTCACCCGCGTGAGCAACTGAGCTGCTGAGGTTTGTGGAATCAGCAAAGGGCAGAAGTGAGAGTGCTTTGGCATTGCAGATTTACGTCCCAGAGCACACGGTGGGCTCAGGGGGCTAAACTGAACATCCCTCCTGAACTGCAGCATTTATGGGAGGAATCAAGTGGAAAAGTGCTAGCAAACATGACGTGCTTTCCTTCGAGGAGATGAGTTTGGGCACAGCGTGATTGCCTTATTCCTCATTGCTGGGCGTGATAATAAACTCCTGGTGTGCCACAGGAAGCAAAATGGTGTATTGCTCACAGGAACAGAGTGTTTGGTGGAGGAGTGCACTGAGTGTGGGCGCTGGGGGAATCAGAGGTGCGAGAAGGGCTGCAGGAGGATGGGGACTGCGAGCCTCAATGGGTGGGCAGATGCTGGGGAAGCTGTAGGGCAGCCCGGTGCCCCAAAGGTCCCAGGGAGAGGTGGATGCTGTGTCTCTGTTGTGGGTTGCTTGGTGCCAGGAAGGATGAAGGATGCTGGAGAGGAAGGATGGAGGTCATTGGAGGGCCAGAGGAGCGTCCAATGATACAATAGTGGGGCTCAGATTGGTGTGCTCATCTCTAATAAATCATAGAATCATAGAATGGCCTGGGTTGAAAAGGAACACAATGATCATCAGTTCCAACCCCCTCCTATGTGCAGGGTCACCAACCAGCAGACCAGGCTGCCCAGAGCCACATCCAGCCTGGCCTTGAATGCCTGCAGGGATGGGGCATCCACAGCCTCCTTGGGCAACCTGTTCCAGTGCCTCACCACCTTCTGTGTGAAAAACTTCCTCCTAAATGAAGGGAGGCTGAAAGCACTGCTTGAATGCAGTCATCTAAATATTAGCAGGGGGAGCGACCAGAATTGTGTTGTTGGGGTGCTCCAGTTTAATAACAGAACACTGAACTACCACCAGCTCTCAGTGCGGGCTTATCAGCCTTACAGGTTGTAACCCTGGAGCTGATCTCACAGCCTGGGCAGTGTTTTATGGCTGGGATCGCTGCCCACTCCACCTCCTGGTTTGGTGGAAGCACCACGGCTGCACCCAGTGCAGGATGTGCTGCTGGGCTCTGAGCCTGGAAATGGGGCTGCAGCATTCTGCTTTTCTCTCCTTCCAACTGCATCACTTCTGACAGCACTGGGATACTCGCCCTGAGCACCGTGGGCGAACGTTCTTCTTTCCCTATTTATCTATCTATCTATTTATTTATTTGTTCCCATTTGATGCTCCTCCCTCTATGAGCAGCGCAGGGGAAGCAGCAGCCGCAGCAGCTGAGGTCAGGAAGGAGCTGCAGCGGGAGGAGGCGGCTCACAGTGCTGCTCACAGAGCCTCATCCTTCCGAGGCCGCCCACGGGGGCCAGAACTTGATGGCAATTGAAGCCTCATGGGTCTCTGCTCACAGCACTTCCTATGAGTGGATATTCCTATCTCCCCCCCACCAGTGCTTTCACAGGAGATAATGTGGATCAAGGCTACAGCATCATACAAGGGTGCCCCCAAGCTGCACCCTCCCTGCAGACCACCAGCCTCCTTTGCATCTCAGAGCAAGAAATGTGCTACTGGTGAATCAAAGAGCATGTGCAATGTGCAGGACAGTCTGCTTAGAGCTTTCAGTGTGCGCTCAGTGTGCATCCTCCCCTTGTCCTTTTGCTGAGCTGTACTGAGACGGGTGAGCAGCTGCAAGTAAACTTCTGGATGTGGTTTCCCACCTGGCTGCAGCCTGTCCCTGTTCTGCTCATAAACTGAGTGCTGTTCTGCAGTTCATAAAAGTGCCCTGGTGCCACCACAGTGCCCAGCTGTGTCCTGGCTGCCCACAAGGCACCTGCTGAGGGATGGAGGTGACACTTGCAGAGCAGGTGGCTCATGTGCTATTCATGTCATCTGGGGCTCTTGTTCCTGACCTGTGCATATGAGGAGCATCACCTTCAATGCTCAGAGCCTTTTTTTTTTTTTTTTTTTCTGGATACAGGGTTGAACTCTGCTCCCAGTGCTCAGAAAGGTGATGTTTGTGACCAGGACTATGCACAGACAAAAGGGAATTCCCACCCAGTGTCCTGACTGATGCCTGATGGTGCTCTGCTGCACAGTCTTTGTTTATTGTGTCCAGGATTTCCGAGCTGCTTTTTGTGCTGGAGAATATTTTTAGCAAGGATGCAGCTGTTTTGGTGTGTTTTTGGTTACCGCTGCGTTGCCAAATTGAGGAGCCCAGCCCCTGCAGCTTGTTGCTTCCCAGCACTGTTTGCTTTGCTCTGGATCATCCCAGCACCTTGCCATGGCTGCGAGTCTAACAGGAATTCCTCTGCTGCGAGCAACATTAACTCAGCCTTGCTGCATCCTTTGCTTTAGCTCAGATTTCCTGTAGAACACACAGAAATGGGTCAGAGCCCTCAGCCCTGCGTTGTGTTGGCATGGTGCTTACCTCCAGCCCTGCTTTTGTCTCTGCCGCCTTCCCCTGCTCCCAGCTCACTGTGCATTCAGCTCAGCACTTCTCCAGGGAAGCATCCCAGTACCTGCCTGCCTGAGCCACTGCTGCTTCCTCCTTTGTGCCAGCAGTGAGAGGAAGGAAAGGGTTCGTGCCCGGCTCTGCCCTTTGTGCTCACAGCCAAGGACAGGCGTTCATGCAGGAAGCCACTTGCTCCTTGGCTGGTGCTGCACTGCTCAGCTCTGCTGGGCTGGGCTCTTTGGGTGCAAAACAGCTTGAAATAACCCCAAACCTCCCTTCTGGAGCTGTGTTTCAGGGCTTCGTTTCTTGCTGAGGTCAGCAAAGCTCCCGTCAGCTCTGACCATATCTCTTGGATGCTGGGTGTTTCCCTGGAGGGTGCTGCTCGCCAGGACAGCGTTGAGTTGTTTGATCTGCTGGGGTCCTCCGGAGGAGAGCCATGGCTTTGTGCCATTGTACTGACTTCTCTCAAAAGAATACTCAGAGCTGAATTACTGCCCATAATGGCTGTGCCCTTGCTGATCAAGTGCCACAACAAAAGGTTGCGCTGGAGAACACTGATCTGTGGAAAATAAAATGTTGCATGGCTGCTGAGGAACTCTGCAATGGGCAACAGCTCCTGCCCTGTTCATTCAGCTACAAACAAGGCATGAAGCCAGGAAAACCATGGGTGTCCCAGCACCTGTCCGTGAGGGACAGAGGGAACTACAACTCCTTCTGCAGTTCTCTTTCAATATCTGGCTATTCTGGATGGGTTTACATGTATTTTATGACAGTTTGGAGGTGCTGAGGAGGTGGAATAAATGCTGGGCAGGCTTAGCAGTGATGCTGATGTGTTCACAATCTGCAGCGATGCTGCTGTGAGCTCTGACCATGCAGCTGCAGGGCCTGGGAAGCTGTTCAGGGGGTGAGCATCACCCTTGGCTGTGGAGGGGCTGGGATCTGAGTTTTGCCTTTGGTGCAATGGGCTGCAAGAAGAGTGCTGAGAGGCTTGGTAAAAAGTGATGCTGCTGTGACAAATGCCATTTGAAGAGCTTAAATCTGTCCAGAATTGGGGTGTGATAATTTTTTCCCCCATAGAAATATGATCCAGGCATCAAAGACCTCCCCCTGACCCTTTCCTGCTTCTCATCCCTCTGTGAGCACCTTTTGGTCATTGTGCTTTGTCTCCCTTGCAGCAGGGCTGTGCCTGAACTGCTGGAGCCTGCAGGAGCTGGTGAGCAGGGATGCTGGCAACTACCTCATCCTGGTGGAGAAAATCCTTGGCAAGGCCAGGGAGGTGAGTGGGGGCTGCTGGCTTTGGGGAGGAGCTTTGCAGGTCCTGATGGGCGATACGGGGCTGTGTTCAAACCCCATTGGTGGGCAACGTTGGTCCAGCAGCTCCAAAGTGATGGATACGGAGATTTTGTTGAGGCTCTGCCCAGCTTCCTGCAGTGCAGGGGATGGAGCTGGGGCAGCTGAAGCATCAGTGGGGCTCATTGTATTGGCTGCCATGCCCAACCCTGTGTGGGAGAGCTCAGGGCCTCGTGGGGCTGCAGGCAGGAGGACTGGGGGGAATGCCATGATGTGGGAGGAATTCTGGGGTTCATGTGATGGGGTAAATGCTGCCTTTCATTTCTGAGGGAAGAAAGGCTGCCTTGCTAATACATTAATGTGATTGCTGCTACTCTGTTTGATCGACAAGTTGTTTTCAATGGCTGGGATTGATCTTGTTACAATGATGTTGTATTATGTTATGCTGTACGTACATTTTTCTTGCACTTTGTGCCATGCTTGTAAACAAAGGGAGACAGTGTCTGCAAGCCTGCTTTTGGGCACTCCCTACATCCCTTGTTGAAATAATCCTGCTGAGGTTGGGACAGCAATGCATGCTTTGCACTGTGCTTTGCCATTTGCAATCCCTAAGCAGGGCTGGGCTGCCTGCTTTGGGCCACTTGCATAAAATTTCATGCAACTCTGCAAGGGTTGAGAGCATCAGAGGGTCAGGAGCTCGGCTGAATGCGGCTTCTCAAGAGTAAAGGCAGAGTGTGCCACTGCCTACGGCTTCTTGGGTGCTTTAGGGGGAGTTTCTCATGGAGATGAGCTGCCTCCACCTGTTGGGGATGGTTGCATGGTGGTGTGGATTGAGAGGGCTCAGATGCATTCGTAGGGGAACATCTGGCACCCCCGTGGTAATGCTCATCCTTCTCCCTTTTGCTGTTTCCTACAGGTGCAGGAGAAGTGTGACTACGACCTGGTGATGCCCCTGGCCCTGCTTTTCTACTACGCTGTCCTCTATGTAAGTCTGCTGCACACAGCACTCCCCAGCCTCCAGTAGCTGCAGGGTCCCACTCTGCTTTGGTCTGTTCCTCTCTGAAAAGATCCCATACAAATCTGCAGGGACCAAGGGCAAGGAACGGCTGCACAAGCTACAAGAGATGAAAAAAATGCACTTTGGTGTTTTTAATCTTTGCATTTAAAGACGGGTCAGTCAGAAAGGGAGGCAGTATCTCTCTTCAGAGAAGCCAAATTGTTTTCATTACACTGTAGAGTCGGGCAAAATGCGCAGACAATGCTAATGAAAAGGAGCAGAGTATTCACAGGAAGTATTTTTTTATTATCATTATTATTAGCACAATGCATCATTATCCCGAGGAAATCATTGCTGCCAGGTCTTGCAAAAGCACAGACTTCAATGTGATTCATCTGCATGGATCTGTGGCTGTTAAAAGGGAATTTATATATAGGCTGTGGCATGTGAGTCTGGGGAGGCGCAGGGGAGGAAGCTGTTTTGCAGCTGTGCCCAGTGAGGTGCTTTGGCTCTTCCTTAGAAGAGGATGGGGTGTCACAGGGTGAGCCCTGATCCCATCCGCTCCTCCTGCCATCCCATCCCATAACCCCCTGGGCTTTATGCAGAGCTCCAGCACCAGCTCCTTGCTCCCTTCCTCACCACCCCTCCCCATCCCTGCAGGCTCCCCACATCCCACCAGACTCTGAGCTGCTCCTGAAAGCTGCCAGCATCTACCACAGCTTCCTCACCTGGCCCATGCCTTACTGCGATGTCTTCCGTGAGCTGCTCACCTTCATCAGTGATGAGCTCAAGGCACCAGGTGAGCGCTCTTGCCCTGCCATGGGCTCTCTGACACTGATCCTGCTTCCCTGCATGAGCTAAAGCCCCCAGCGCATGCAGAGTGCGACCAGGCTTCTGTGGAGGAGCACGGCAGGATTTTGGGGATGTGTTTTTGGGCTGCTGCCTTGTGGGCAAAGTAGTGGGAGCATCCGATCTCAGCCCAGGGCTGGTGTGGATTAGCATGAACTGTCACTGTTTCCTGGCTGCCTTTCAGTCTGCTAGTTTTTTGCATGGGTCCATTCATCAGCATGAAGGTGGTAGGAGGGTCTGAGCCTGCCATGGGGTGGAGTTTCCATAGGGCTGAGGAACTCCCCAGCTGTGTTCTTGCAGAAGAGATGCTGCCTTGTAATCCGGCTTTGGGCATGTTGAGTGGCAGCAGCGCCCCAATTAATTAGGGACTCTGCTGATATCCTGTTGTTCCCAATGGAGCAGCTCTTCCAATTATTTCTCAAAAGCCCTTTCTCCTCATCTCCCCACCTTTCCATGGCTCACGGAGAGTTGTCATTGCACAGAGCAGATTTCAGCCCTCGTTTTGTCTTGCACAGGGCCATGATCTGCTCTGAGCAGGGCTGGGGAAGGCTCGGAAGGGGATGGGGGCTGCAGCTGGGCCTGGTGATACCACCCTGTGTCCTTGATACAGACAGCTGGTTTGGAGATGGAATGTGAAACACAAGGTCTCCATCCATGCAAAGCCCCGAGGGGCACACTGTTAATCTTTTAATGAGCCAAGGAAAGATAGGGATGGATGCCTACCATTAAAATCCCCTTTGCAAGTCTCTAAGGAGACCCTGGCCACCCGGAGAGGTGTGTCTGGGCCATCACACAGCTCCTGGCCTCCAGCAGGAGCAGCAGGGCTGATGTGGTCCCAGGAATGCTTGTCCCAGCTCCTCCTTGGCCATTTATTGCTGTGACACCACTTGGGGCCCTGCTATAAAGACCACTGGAAAAGCCCCAGCACTGGGGATGTCGCTTCCTTCTGCCCTTACCATGCTGCCACAAGTGCCCAGGGCTGCTGAGCTGGGGACTTTGATCCAAGGGCTTTTCCTCTCCTACAAATGGGATTGCATGAAGCAGCTGATGGGAGGTGTTGGTGTGTGGGACTGAGTGCCACAGAGCAGCCAAGAACAGTGACAGTGTGTCCTCTGCTGGAACACTGGCCAGGACCTCACAGCCTCCGTGACCTGACAAGAGGCTGAAGCAACAGTTTTGATTGAGATGGGGTAAATATTAACTGAGAACAAGCTGCTGTCAATATTTGCCAAGAATGCTATAGCTTTTATCTGCAAGCTGGGACTGATGTCTCTGCAGGAGTGGTGCAAACTGAGGGGGCTGTGGGTACTCCTCCCATGTTGGTGCAGCTCTCAAGCAGCAGTTGGGGTTGGCATGTGGCTGCCCATGGTGCTAAGGGTGCTGGATCTTGTTGATGCCATAAGATCTTTTCCAGTATGCCCCAACTGTTGTTTAGGGGGGGGTGGGCTTTGCTGTTGTCTCCCAGTCACAAGGACTGTGACTCCAGGTCCAGCAGATGTCATCCTGATGGCACCATGGGGACAGTCCTGGGGGAGGCAGCTTGGGGACATGGGCTGGTTCTGTCCCTGCAGGAGGGACAGTGGCTGTGACGTGCTGGCCACAGGGACATCCAGGACTGGGAGGATAAAGCAAGGGGCAGAGGTTGCTGAATTATCACTGATGTAATCCACAGCAGCAGCAGTGGGGCTTCAGGGGCTGGACATGGAGTTGCTTCCCCTTCCCACTTTCTGGTTCCTCTCCCACTGCTCCCTTGCTGCTGGGTTCATTCCCCTTGCACTCGAGTTGTGCTTTGCATCTGTAAGGACTTTTGCTGCTGCTGTTCCTGCTACAGGAGACAGCACCTGGGGCAGGGCAGCCTGTGGTACCCCCATAGTTATGTCCTCTGCTCTCTCCCCCAGGGATTTCCTTCCAGAGGTTGGTGAGGACGGAGCAGGGGCTGCCTGTGAAGAACTACCAGAGCTCCACTGTGTAAGTGCAGGCACTGCTGGTCTCGCTCCAGCATTTCCACTATCCCGTGCTACTTTGGCAGCAGCAGCAGAGTTGCAGCAATCAGCGTCCCAAAAGTAGTGGTGGTGACAGGGGAGAAGAGCTGGATGGCAGAGCTGAGCTGTGGAAAGGGAGGAGGAGAGTGGCTGTGACATTTCCACAACCACAGATGAGTATCTGCAGGCATCCTGTGCTGGATATCCCCAAACAGGGAGACAGATCTGAGGGCAAACAGGCAGGGAAGGCAAAGGCTTGAGCCACCAGGCCAAAGCAGAACAGGAGCAAGTTCACTCCAGTGCAGCAGTGCAGGGCTCACTGGTTCAGTCAAACCCTGCACCTTCCTTGAGGGCTGAACGTTTCTTCCTGCCCTGGCACCTCATTTGTAAATAGGGAAATGAGCCCAGGCAGTACGTGCCCATCCTGGCTGCAGGGTCAGTCCTGTCACAGCTACCCCTGCTCAGGATGGGAAGGCTGTCCTGTTGCTTTGGCTTCTATATGCATGCTGCACATCTTGGGGTCTGCACCAGTATCCCACCCAGCTGTACTGGTGCTGTTGTGTTGCTTTCCTATTACAGCTGCCCTGCTCTGTGCAAGTGCAAGCACCTGTGGCTTGCACCGAGGTGGCTGCATTTGCATGAAAGCCTGAAAACTTGGCACAAGGCTGTACACAAGCTGAATGTCAGGCTTTTTGAAAGCTCTTGCCCTTTGCCTGAGCTTTCTAGAACTGGTTGCACCTTGGCCCATCCTCAATTCAGAGCTATTATTTGCTCAGTTATGTGCATCGTTCACATCCATAAATGTAAGCACACGACTACGTGCTCTCCAGGATTTGGGAATTTAAAGCCTGCTGGTGTTCATGTTGTGGTCCAGAGCAAAAAGCTTTCCCAGCTGAAGGATGTGGCTCTTCTCTCCAGCAGCAGCTCCTGGAAAGCAGGCAGCCTTGCTGGTGGCAGAGCAGGAGGTGAGCTGTGTGTGCAAGGGCTTCCCATGAAGCCTGCCAGCCTCACGCATTTTCCTCCAAATGTCCTCAGGAAAATGTGGCTCATGCCTGCACCATCTCCCTGCTGGAGTCCTTCATATAACTTAAAGCTTTGTAGCAACTTAAAGCTCAGAAGGGATGCTTAACTCTTTACAAGGGTAGATAATGGCAGGACAAGAGGAAATGGTTTTAAGTTGAAGGAGGGAAGATTTAGATCGGATGTCAGGGGGGAGTTCTTCACTATGAGAGTGGTGAGGTGCTGGAACAGCTGCCCAGAGAGGCTGTGGATTCTCCATCCCTGGAGGTGTTCAAGGCCAGGTTGGATAGGGCAGCCTGGTCTAGTATTAAATGTGGAGGTTGGTGGCCCTGCATGTGGCGGGGGGAGGAGGAAGTAAGAGCTTGGTGATCCTTGAGGTCCCTTCCAACCAGGGCCATTCTGTGATTCTGTGATTCTGTGATGCTGTGATGTTCACCTTGCAAAAGAAGATGTTTCCTGATTTTCTGTTCCCCTCTCCATCATAAATGCTGGGTGTCCACTTTGGACAACTGGCTGCTAGGCTGGAGCCCTTCTGGGGCTGGTGCTATTGCAGATATGGCAGAAGGGATGATGCCAGGGATGCACGGAGGATTCCCACCCATCCTCACACCCAGCAGCATGGCTCTGGCACTCCTGCACAGCCACATCTGCAGCTCATGTGAGGGCACGCTGCCATCTAGCGTGAATTCACCCAGTGTTGCACACCACCAGCGTGCCAGCCTGGCTGCCTGCTCTAATAGCCATCCCGTGTCCCCAGGACGGTGCTGCTGCTGAACCGCTCCGAGGTGCAGAGTGAGTTCCTCTCCATCGCAGAGAAGCTGAGCAGCACTGAGCCCCCCCGGCACGCCGCGCTCATCCTGCTGCTGGAGCACCTCTACCAGGTCACCTTCGGCACCCGCTGCGACCTGGGCAGCCTGCACTGCCTCCTGAAGGTAGGCACGGCCTTTCCCTTCTCTTCTCAGGTCTGGGTTCTGGTGCTGTATCCCCAGCTGGAGAGAGGAAGAGCCCCCCGATGTGAAACGCAGCAAAACATGTCGTTTGACCCTAGGAACTCTTTGCTCTGGTGTTTATGGGGAGTAAAAACTTGTGGTGAAATCCTGTAGGTGTGTTCAAATGCATTAAGTGACAAGGGAAGTGAGCTGGTCATCCTTTTTCTCTGGGTAATAGTGACAAGACTCATTGGAATGGCTCAACGCCATCGGGGTAGGCTCAGATTAGATATGAGAAAAAACTGCTTTATTGAGAAGGTTAGACACTGGAACAGGCTTGCTAGGGAGGTGGCTGATGCCCCATGCTCATCTGTATTTGGGAAGTGTTGGGATTATGCTCTTAAAGATAAATTTTAACTTTGGGTCAACCCCAAAATGGTCTGATAGTTGAAGCTGATGATCTTCTAATGATGGAACTATTCCTTCTCCTACTCTACTCTTTTCCCTCTCTCCTACTCTACTCTTGTTCTACTCTATTCTTGTATTTGTACATGATTTGGAGGGATGGAGGAGGGAGAGAGATACAGAGATTCAGACTCCGTGACCATCCCTACAGACCTGTGCTCCCCTCCATCTCTCCCTTGGCTCTGCTCTCCCCAGGCCAAGACATTGGAAGAGCTCTCTGAGATCTACACCAGTGCTGCTGAAGCTCAGGAGGTTGCAGCTGCCAGCAGTGACCCCGTGCTGGCCCGGGAGCGGCTGCAGAGCGTTCTGCAGGACATCGCTGGGGCAGCTGCACTTCCTACCATTGCAGGTGAGAAGTCCCTGCACTCTTCTCGCTTCCTGGGTCCAATGCCGGCTTGATCCCATCATCAGCCACAGGTTCCCCTTGTGCTGTGAGCTATGCTTGGAAGTGTGAAATCCTGTTTTGTGCAGAACTTTAACCTGGCACAGTAAGAAGGGGACTGGGTTTGTTTTTTTCTATTTCATCGCTGCACGATGAGCCAGATGTTTTTTCTTGTCAAACAACAATAAACCATCTCCAGCCTTTGTGGCTGAGATGAGAACGTTCAATCAGAAAACCAGCTGTAGCAGCAATGTCTGCTGCCTGACCTGGTGGTGCTGAGACACATGTGACTTCATGGGTTAATGACAGCATTGTTTCTCTGCGTGATGTGAGCTGCCCATATAACCAGCACGGGGTGGGCAGCACCCCATGGCTCTGACCATTGCAGATGCCCTGTGTGGGGCTTGCAGCATGGGGAGGGTCTCCACAAGCTGACTCCTCTCCTCTCTCCACAGGAGATGCACAGCCCCGCAGGCTGCAGCCCATCCCCATCCCTACTTCGCGCTGCTACACTTACAGCTGGGACCAGGATAACTTTGGTAAGCAGAGAGGGGTCCTCACACCCATGTAAAAAGCTCCTCTGCAAGGAGTAGCACATGCTACAGCCCAGCTGTGCCAGAATGTTGTCCAAGAACTGAGCAAAAGCCATCCCAACATAGAAGGGTTTTCTGTCCCAATACCCCTTGGCTCCTGTATCTCTCTGGAGTGGCCACAGTTTCTGGCTGGGCAGGAGGTTTTGCTGTGCTCTCAGCCCAGCCACAGCAGTTTTTCAGGGGAAGCACAGCTTCCCTTTTTGCTGATCTGACGTCTTTGGCTTCCCCATTCCTGGAAGACCTCTTCTGGCCCCATGAAGGTTGAGCATTCGTTGCTCACTGGCCGCAGAGTGCTGAACCTGCTCTCTAGCTTGGGCTTTGTCACCTTCCTGACTGTCCATTTAGGGTTAATCCAAACATCTTGCATCCCTCTTCCCCTCTAATTTAACCCAGATTGGATGCAGGGTGCATTGGGAACTCTGCATGGGAAGGAAGCAAAAACCCAACCACTGTTTGTTTTTAGAGAACCCAAACAGAATGTGAGTCAAACAAGTTTTGTTTTGTCATCAAATCAGAGCGCCTTATGGAAACCCAAAAATGCTCAGGAAGAGGTTTTTAGCTCTTTGTTTCAAGCCATGCAGGGTTAGAAAGAATGCTGGCCATGCTGCCATAGGGCCATTGCCTGAGGTGTCATTGCACTGCTCACATTTCTGATCTCCCTCCCGTGCCTTTCAGATGTCCTCAATGATGTCCTCAGCAAGGAGTGCAGCGTTGTTGAGCCTGTGGCCTCAGAGAATGAGGAGGACGAGGAAGAGGAGGAGGAGGACGTGGAAACAGATGGCTGTTCCCCAGAGAGGGACTCGCTGCTGTCCCCCATCTCCTCCATTTCCAAAGACTCCGTGTACTCAGCGCTGTCAGAAGAGGGACCCAAGCACTCCCGCGTGTCCCTCTTCAGCAGCTCCAAGGACTCCATCTCAGAGCTGACAGTGGTCTCCAAAAAGTCCTTGCGGTCTTTTGTCTCCAGCCTGAAGGACTGCATGGACAGCGGGTACGCAGAGGACAGCGACGAGAGCTCTCTGGACACAATTGGGCGGCCGGAGCTGAAGATGGAGAAGACCCACCACAAATACAGACACACGCTGACCAACAAGATCTACAAACTCTTCAAGAGCAAAAGCCAGCTGGTCCTGAGGAGAGACCTGAAGGACTGTCCAGATACAGGCTCACTCCCACTGCGCCGTGCTGAGAGCCTGTGCCACCCCCAGGCCAAGCCCCGCATCCCGGCACGCTCCCGGCGCGCTCACTCGTTGCCGCAGCACGGGCTGGGCCAGAGGCTGCAGACCCCGCAGACCCCACAGCTGCTCAGCCTGCCCCGCCGGCCCTTCCTCAGCTATGACGAGGATGCCAAAGTGGCCACCATGCGTGTGGTGGTCTTTGGCTCCGACCGCATCTCAGGGAAAGTAGCCCGAGCCTACAGCAACCTGAGGTGAGCGGGGCAGCGCGGGGACGTGGCTGTGGGATGTGGCTGTGGGACGTGGCTGTGGGATGTGGCTGTGGGATGTGGCTGTGGGACGTGGCTGTGGGACGTGGTGGGGTCCATGCCTTGATGGCTTGCTGCTGTGGGCACTGGGGTCCTGGTGTGGGGGACATTCAGCTGCTTTTGTCTGCCAGCAGGGACACTGACTGCCAGGTGACATTGTCATTAAGTCAGTGTGGCACAGACAGCCCACTTTCTATGTGTTCCTTCCACACTGCCTCGCTCTGAGAAGGGTCAGGATCCTCCAGCTACCACTGGAGTCTAATTCTGCACATCACATCCTGCCTTGCCAGGCTGTATCGAAGGGCTTTGCTCACCCAGCACTCTCCCCACTTCTCCTAGGCTGAAGGAGAGCACCTGCCCTACACTGACAAGGTACTTCAAGCTGCAGTTTTTCTATGTCCCCGTGAAGAGGAGCTGCCTGTTTCCAACAGCCCTGCTGATGCATCCTCCTCCATCCCCAAGCGACCTGCAGCTCCGCACCTCACCACAGGTGGTACGTGTCCTGCTCATCCCACAGCAGGCTGGGCCACAGCAGCCCTGGTGTCTCTTCCCCAGCCCTAAGCCAGGGAAGAAGAGCTGGGGGGCTTTTGGGTGACCCCCTCCATCTCTGGTTTCAGGAGCCCACTTTGGCTGGGGCGGAGAGCAGCACCAACGACATCTCCCACTACATCGGCATGTTGGACCCGTGGTACGAGCGGAACGTTCTGGGGCTGATGAACCTGCCTATGGATGTCCTGTGTCAGGTATGAACATGTTGGCTGGGAGACCCTGGTGTCCCCTTCCCTGAGATACATCTGCTGAACGCTGTGCCTGAAGCTGCCCAGGAGGCTGTGCTATGTGGGCATGAGATGGAAACAGGTGGTTCTGGTTCTGGTGGTCGGGAGGAGGGTTCCCATCCCGGAGGTGGTGGTGCTGGGCTATAGGTCCCACATATCCATCAGGGTTGTGACTCCCCTCCTCACTGCAGTCTGCCAAGCCTGAGGCTGAGCCCCAGGAGGACTCCCGGGAGCAGCTGCCCATCCTGGCCGACATGATCCTCTACTACTGCCGCTTTGCCACACGCCCCGTCCTGCTGCAGCTCTACCAGACCGAGGTAGGCAGAGGAGCTCAGCAGGGGGAAGGGGGTCTTCTGCCTCTACCACCAATGTGGGACCCACCTGGGAGGTGGACGTGGGTATGGCACAGCTGCTGTGTGCTGGTGGGCTGAGCTTGGTCCTCTTGTATTCCCCTGGGGACCTGTGCACGTGGGCCTACAGCACTTTGGCTGATGTTCTGGCTAAGGGATCAAGGGTCTGCAGGTCCTGGCCCAACCATTCTCAACTGACACGAGCAGTTTTCCTTCCCAGTACCTTTCTGCCCCACACAAGAGGAACTCCCGTCAGTGCTGGCAGATCGGTCACATTGCTGGAAGTCCCTCTGGTGTTCTTTTTCCCAAACCAAACCCCTCACATAACCCCTCCTCCATCACCTGCTGTGCGAGAAGGTTCTCCTGCAGCAGAGAAGGTTTGAATGCATTTCTGTGCTGGTGGCTTTGATGGTTCACGTGCTGGTGGTCTGTTAAAACAGTCTGAGGTGTAGCTGGAGGAAAGTACCACCCAAGGCAGTGGTTGAAACGTGTATTTTGAAAGCTGAAAGAATTTGCCCAAACTGCCCCATTTCCTGTGGAAAGAAGTGAGAGGGGCAGGTTACATCCTCCAGCTCCACGGCCCTGTGAGGTCATCTCATCACCACATCTCTTCTCTCCTCCTGGCAGCTCACCTTCGTAGGGGGGGAGAAGATGACCGAAGTCTTCATCCACTCCCTGGAGCTGGGTCACTCAGCAGCCACACGGGCCATCAAGGCGTCAGGTCTGTGGCTGTTCCTTCTTCCTTCTCCCCATTTCTGCAGCCTTGGGGTGGGTGTCCACACACTGCTGGGCTGGGAGATGTCTGCCAAGAGGGGCTGCAGGGGGAGGGAGAGGGCTTTGGCCCCAACGTGGGCTGCAGGAGGGCTCTGAAGCCAGGCTTCAGGTTCTTGCGTTCCCCTTCGGGAGTGAAGCCGTGACCATACCTTGCTCCTTTTACTTCTGTTAACTCTCTGAGTGTATGAGCTGTAAAGCAGTTTCAAGCCTGCAGCTCGCAGGACATCTCTTGGCTAACTATTGTACTGCATCCAAGCACTGTGTCATGTTTTTAACCTGCAGCTTTTCTGACATCTCGCCTTGTCCGTCTGAACGGAGCTCACAGAGCATCCCTTTCCCCACAAACTGTCATCACCCCACTCCCCCAAAGTGCTGACTTGGCCAAGCCCTCTTCCCAGTAATTCAGGAAGCCACCAATCTTCTCTGACTGATCTTTCCCTTGGGCTTCTGGTGGAACACCACTTAACATCTGCGAAAAATTACCCAGAAAAAGAAAAAAAATACATTAAGAAGTGTCGGGCACAGCATTTCAAGGTTAATTTAATGTTGGCACAAATATGCCCTGAAAAACAGGAGCTGGGTTAGCCATGCACCCTCTTATTTCTTTGTGCTTCCCCTGGTGCGCTGGCACTGCTGCAGTGCTCTCAGTTTGCAGTGCTTTGCCCTGTAATTTCTGCACTGGATGAATTGCTTTCTGGCAGCTTTTAAGCCACATTTTCCTTTCTGCTCTGCGACTGCGTTCGGCAAAGCAGGATTTTGTTTTTTCCCTTTTCTGTAGGTACTGAGTGTGGTGCTGCGTTAGCAGCCCTGAAGATTGGGGAGAAAAGGTCACCAGGTGACATTTGCTCCTTGTTTTGTGCAGGTCCGGGCAGCAAAAGGCTGGGCATAGATGGAGACAGAGAAGCAATCCCACTAACACTACAGATCGCCTACAGCAAGGTGAGCATGTGGGGATTGCACAGCACAAATGTGTCAGAAATCCACCTCAGTGCTGTCTCAGCTGGGGGCTGAAAGGGACAGGTGCTGAGAGTGTGCTGGTGGAGCCTGAATCCAAGGCCAGCGGAGCTGAAATGAACCTAAGGTTCAACTTACTGGCTAATTGGTGGTGGTTTTCCACTCCTGGGAAGCCCAAGATAATAAGGAGTGTGCTGCCAGCTCCCATAGCCTCAATGCGTGCTGGGTGCAGTTTATATCAGTGGGCATTGCTTCCAGGGAGCAATCTCCTGCTGTTCACAACAGTCCTCCTATTTCTGTGGTTTCTCTGTAATTACCCCTGACCAATTTTGTAATTCCAAGGCCAAAGAAATTTTAATGCCTACTCAAAATTTGCCTGTTCAGCTCCAGGGAAGCCCAGGTCTGGGTCAGCCCAGCCGTAGGAGGTAGAAGTGGGAGGCAGGTAATAGCCTGAAGGATGGCATCTCACATGCTTCAGTTTGTCCCTGCAGACAGCCATCAGTGGAAGGAGTCAGTGGAACGATGTTGAGAAGGTCTGCACATCTGTTAACCTCAGCAAAGCCTGCAAGAAGTACGAGGAGCTGGGTGGGTACAGCTGGGCTTTGGGGCTCAGGATGGGAAGCAATGGGAGGGAATGGTGGAGTGAGATGATAGCATGGCTCCTCTAAGCAGAGCAAAGCAGGGGTGTGTGACTGCAGAAAACACCTGGGAGGTGCCTGTTGTTCCCTGGGGCGAGATAGGGCACCCTTTGGCTCTCCTTAGCACCATGCCAGAGTTGAAAGATGTTTGATTTCCCATTATCCTTTAGCTTCAAGCTAGGGGAGTCTGTTGCATTGGGTTGCCCATTAGAAAGAGGTTAAACTTGCTAAATAAAGAACCGAGAGAAGAAGTGCTTGTACTGGGTCCTGCCATCGCAGCAGCAGCGCCCTGCAGCCAGCTTTGTGCAGGCTCTCACTACAGCTCCATTTCCTTCCTGCCCTCACAGATAGCTGCGTGCCATGTGGGTTTGTTTCATAATTACCTTTTTTTTTCAGTTCAGGTTGCTGGGGAGGTGTGAATAAGGCTTTGAAGCTTTTAAAGGCACAAGCCTTTTAGTCTGTTAGCTTGCTGATGTAGAAGCAACACCTCATTCTTGCTTGAGCTCTGCTACTTTGACAAGCAGACACCCAGTTCTGAGCAAACTGAGGGTTTTTTTTGGATCCTCTTTCCTTGTGTGCTTTTTGTCTGGCAGATTTATATTTGTGAGCAGAGCAGTCAGGTCAAATAGGTGGTCTAGCAACTAGGAGATAGCTCCTATGTGCCCCACGGAGCTCCACCTAAATCTCCATTCCTCCTGTTGATGCTCCAGTAAGTCCTGCAGACAGCCTTGGAAATACTCCAGCAGGAGTTAGCTGCTCATCTCCTCTGTGTGTTTTGAGTTGGGTGTTTCTGTGCGAGTTCAGGAGCTTTGCTTTGTGCACAGGCTTTGTTTCAGAACATGACTTCAGCTCAGTGCTAGGGGAGAAACTTCTTTGTGAATCTCCCTTCTTCCAAAGAAACCTGGTCTCCTGAGGGTCTCTGTGTTTTCACACGCAGCAATTTGGCCACAGGATGTCACTGTAATTCCAGACAAGCAAGAGCATCTCCAGGCAGACTGCAGGAAGGGCCACGCTGGGAGAGCTCATGATGCTGGGGCCATTGCTTTTCTCCTGTTTAGAGGCTAAGATACTTAAATGTTCTTTGCTGCTGTGTTTGGAAGATTATCCCTGTCTCTCCCATTGCTTTCCTACCATGCAAGTAGGAAAGCTACAGCTGTACTGTATTTCCCTGCAAGTGGAGGCTTTGGGATGTGTTGTTGGGCAGGGGTACCAGCTGGGTTCCTCCCAGGAGCCCCAGGTGATAACAGTTCCCTTTTTGTTACAGCCTCAAAGACAGAGTGTCTCAACCTGACCATGACGGAGGTGGTTAAAAGACAAAACTCCAAATCCAAAAAAAGTTTCAATCAGGTAACTCAAATCATGGTGCTTTTACATTTGGTAACAGGAGCTCCTCAGATGGGAGGGAAGCAGGGCAAGAGGTGGAGTTCGAGATCTGTGGAGCTGTCAGTAACTCCTTGGGGAATCCAGTTTGTGTTGGCCACCAGCCCCAGCTTTGGGGTGCCTTGCTCCCCTTCCCTGCACAGGGTAAATGCACAGAGCCTGTCAGATCCCTCACTTGGACTCCTTTTCTATCAGCAGCTCAGCGTGTCCCAGATTAAGGTAGACAAGGTCCAGATTATTGGTGTCCAGTCCTCCTTCGCCGTGTGCCTGGATCAGGATGAGCAGAAGATCCTGCAGAGTGTAACCAGGTAAGATCTGCAACGTGGCACCAACCTCCCAGGGTGGTGCATCCTCTGTGTAAGGACTTCTCCACAAAGTACAGGTGGCCAAGAGGGACAAGGTCCTGATCATCATGGTGTACCTGTGCCAGGTGCCCAAGCTGGTGTGACATAGCTTCAAGCTCTGTAGTGCAGTTGTGTTCACATGGGATGGATGATCCTGCTCATATCCCAAAGCATTTTACCTTTTATGACTGCCACAGCCTAGAGGGTGATCTCTTGTCAACTGTTCAGCTCCTTGAAGAGCTCTTCCAGCAAGACCAGTCATAAGTCAGAGGAAAGTCATGCATTCTAAATGGGTATTAAATGAGAGTATTAAGTGTACATGAGGAGAGCCTTCAACTTCTTAATCTCACTGGAGTCCTCCATCACCTTTGACATGCCCATTCGTCTCCCATTCATGATTTTCATGGGAGAGACTGGGGTAGAGAGTGCAAAAATTTTTTATTTGACTGTTCTTCCATCCGTTGTGTCCCCAGGGCAGAAGCTGACTCCCTGGGAACGGGATTTGTAAACTCACTGTGCTTCCATGGGCACAAAGAGATCAAACCACTGACCCACTGGAAAAAAGATTTCAAATGTTGTTTCATTTCCTAAAGAAAAGTTTCTTAGTTAACTTGTTCGCTGTGGAACCCAAGGAACTAATATGAGAGTACAGTGCAGGAAATGTACAAGGAGATATTTCCATTTCCCCAGAAGAGCAGAGGTGCAGAAATTCTCATTTTCTCTAGTGAGTGTCAGAAATGGCTCTGTATGGATCCTCCTCCTCTGAATCCCAACCTGAGCCAGCTTATAGGACCTGAACCCCAACACTCAAACTCCAGTCCTGTTAAAGACTGCACTGATTCCTGTTTGCAAAGTTTCTGCTGCACACCATGACTGTGGTTCTCAGCCACACACCTGATGTACATCTTGGTTTCTTTTTGTTCCCTCGCAGGTGTGAGATCTCTGTGTGCTACAGACCAAGGGACAGTGATCCTCTTGCACTGAGAAGGTCCTCTTTGACTCCCCAGGACCCCTCTGATTTTCATTCTCTCCTGTGTTTACCCATTTCCACCTTCAGTGGAGCGTTGCCATAGAAGAACCCTGTGCTCTCATTGGACCAGACATGCATCCAACACCAAAATTAAGCTGTCCTGCTGAAGACCAGCCACTTTTGTCCAAGACATCCTGCAGTCTGAAGCCATAGTGTGGTGATTGAACTGCTTCTGATGTGAGCTTAGCCCATCCTTGGGAAATGATGTTAGTGTCAGGCTCTGGTACAGCTCAGGATTCCCTGGGAGGAAAGTGAGATCTCCACCTGGTTCAGCAGGCTGCCAACACCAAACTGAGAGGAAAGGCGAGGACAGCGACGTTTTCCTGCCAGCAAATGGTGCTGTGGCCATACTTAGTGACTGCAAAGCCCATGTGATGCTGGGGGGAATGCATTCTGGAAAGTGAATGTCTTTGGCTGAGTGGTGGTAGTGGAGCAGATGCACGTGGAGTTGAAAACCACCCAGCCAATGTTCTGATGACATTTCACTTGCAACAAGCCAGTGATGCTGGGGATGGGTCTCTGGGGATAGGGACAGGCTTTCTCAGGGTTTGCTTTAAATTATGAGAGATGGGTGCAGAGAAACAGCACAATGCAGAATGACCCAGCTGGGGCCCAGAAAGAGCCCAGTATGGATTATGGACTGCTCTTTGTGTTCCAGTGAATCCAGTGCAATAGGCCATACCAGGGCATGGGCAGCTCATCACACATACGTGTTGGCTGTAAATCCAGGACCTGCAGGAGAAAACCTTCCACCTCCTGCAGAGTTTCAGAGTTCATCCATTCAGAGTTGGTGTTCAGCTGGTGTTCTTGCATCCTGCTGACCAGTGCATGAGTACTAGAGACATCCCAGAGGCTGAATGCTCTATAGGTGCTTGAGGTAGAGCATAAACCATGCTCTTGCTCATAGGAGGGAGGGGAGTACTGGGTAAAGTGCTAGGATTGCCTTGCCTCACCTCAGGGTGTGGCTTTGGTAGAGAAGGACCCAGCACCAATAACACTAGTGATGCTTGCAGGCAATGATAGCTCTGAGATCCCCTCTGCCCTGCAAAGAGAGGTTCCTACCCCCGCCCCCCTTCTTTCTCTCTGTGAGGCCTTAGCTACAGAAATTTGCAATAGCTGGGAGCTTTTGGAAGTATTTTGACCCCAGGAACAATAAATGGGGCTGGAAGTGCCTTGCTTGGTTTCACAACCCTCAGGTTATTTCTCAGGGTGGTTGGACTAACGATAGCTGGCAGAAGAGCATGCTGCCTGTTGCAGGCTAGGAGTATGCCAACACCAAGGATGTGCTCCATGGGAAGCATCTGCAAGGGACCTCCATCCTGCTGAGGCTGCGGGGCTCAGCCACGGTGAGCTCTGCTCCATCTGGGTCCTCCAGCAAATGGGGCCTGGGCAGCCCTTGGCACTAATTGCAGTGAGACTGGGCTCCGTCCCAAGGCTTGTGGGCACAGCAGCTGTGTTCCCCTTGGTGGTGACATTGGAGCATTTTAAGTCCAACAGGCTCCAAGGACCGGGATCAGATTTTAAACAAGTTTTCCCACTGACTTTCCACATTTCCCAGACAGCTCTGTGTGCGTTGTCTCAAATGGGGCTGAAATTTGACAGCTGTTTTTTTTCTTTAGTTGTTGTTCAATTCGTTAAAATAGCACCTTATCCTGTCAAAACAGTGCTGTTTGTGATCCCTATATCCGTGGCTAAATATATTCCTGCTGCTGTCGGTGGTGCAAAGCTCTTTGGTCTCAGCTGGCCCTATAGAACTACAGGAGAAGAGTTTCCACGCTGGGGAGGAAAAACAAGCACACCCTCTGGGGACTCGTAATCCTGGCTCATTTTTTGACCTCTGATGCTTTCTGGAAATGAAAAGAAGGAAGTGGAAGGTTCCTTCAGGCCGTCCTTGTACATATATGTGCAGCCTTACCAAACCCGTGTCACGTTTGTGCTGATCTGTAAAATAGTGTTTAAAGGACTTTTAAAGTAACTGTAAGATATTAAAGGAGGATTTATTTCGAGTACAAGCATGGTGTTTGTGTCAGTGTTCCCCAGCAGGAGGAAGGCACAGCTCCGTATCTGTGCACAGAGGGCACACAGTGCTTTGCAGAGCACTGATCTGAGGGCAGGAAAAAGCCCATTAGGTTGCCCTGGCTGTGAGATGGGTGCCAGAGGGCACGGAATCAAGACCTGCAGCATCAAATTGAGCTCAAAAGCAAGTTTCAATGCTGTAACTCCCACATCAGCTTTGTTCTGGGTTAAGGAGAGAAGTTTGCAGAGCCTGTATGTGTGAGATGTGTGTGTGTGCCTTTCTCTTCCTGAAGTGCATTCAAGGCTGAGCTGGTAGGGGTGAGGATCAGGGTGTTGTATAGACAAAAAAAACCCTTAACTCACCCATCTGCCACAGATGGGCTGAGCTGGTGCTAGGGTGGGTGCTGTGGGTCACGTCCCAGGTGCAGGGACTTGCCCATAGGCGTGTGCAGCTCAGCACCTCTGATCCTTTCCTCATGCTCACCAGTGCAAAAGCTTCCCCTTGCACTTGTGCTTCCTGGTAGAAGTCCCAGCCCAGCAGTGCCGTGCCCCCAATTCTGTGTGCATCCAACGCTGCAGCTCAGGTGTCCTTCAGCCCAGCTGGGCTCCCTGCCCACACTCCTGTGTGACCCTCTGGGACTGCCTGACCTTGCAGGGGTTCACCAACACAATTCACATCTTTTCAGGAGGAAAAAGGAGAAGCAGAGGTGAGGCACAGGGCCCGGCTCCCTGCCCTGCTTCCCTCCTGGACTGCTGGTTTCCAAAGCGTGGTTCAGCGTAATGCTTTCAAGGAGTTGCAGGTAGAACAGAGTGGAAGTCTGCTGTGAGTCTTGCTCATTTCTGAAGGGTTTTGGCCAGTGCCAAGGTCTGAGAAGGGCAGGTGACTCCTGTGTGCCTCGGGATCACTCTTAGTTCAGGATTGGTGAGAGCAGAGCCAGGAAGCAGAATGCCAGAGGAGGCTGATGCTCAGCTGGCAGTACCTGCTGCTCCGGTGTCCTTATCTCACTTGTGCTAATTAATGATCAATTAAAAGTTCATGAGGCTCCCAGTGCCTGGATGAAGAACAGTTTTCCAATAGGGAAAATTCACTCGAGAAGAGGAAGAATGTGCCAACAACACAAAGATGCATAAGGATCAGTGTGCTCAGACACAGCCCACATGTCAGTGCTCGCTGTGAGCACAATTCATGCCTTGCTGATCCCTCTGCTCCTGGCTTAGGAACTTGGTGGCTCTCAGAAGGGGTCAGACCTGGTGTGGCAGCAACCTGGCAGAGGACACAGCTGCTTTCCTTGCTGGTGAGATGTGCTCAGTATGCTGTGCCTGTGCACTGACTGCAGTGTCTTTCCAGAAGGGCTGTCTGAACTGCAGGCTGAGGCACTGCCCCTGTAACCAGAAATGTGAGGACAGATCTGTCTGCAGAGCCAGGGCTTGGGCACTGCCTCACTCTGAAAGAGCCTTTTCCTGTACAACAGTGCCTTTCTTTCCCATAGTTGGTTTCTGTGTTGACTTATAACCAAGCATGGCCCTAAGCCACCTGAGAACAGGACGCTCTTGTGAGAGGTTCCTCGAAGAAACTGCACAAAGCTCAGCCCATTGGGAGCCTCCCTGCTCAGGAACCCAGCTGAAATGCAATCCCAAAGCAGTTTTGCTGCTGTTTTTGGGGCAGTTTTAATGGGGCATGGGGCACTGTTACCAACAAGAAGCAATGGGGTACCTCCAGCTGCACCCCTTCTCTAGCACACGGTCCCCAGGAGGTGATGCAAGGGATGAAGGAAGAGGCAGCACTTATATGTGCAAACCTGCAGCCCATCGTGAGCCCCTTCCCATGCAGCAGGGTGACCCATGGGCGTGTGGCCTCTCCAAGACCTGATGTACTGGAGCTGGCATGAGCAGTCTGCATACAGCTGAGACCACATGATAGCAGGGATTCTTCCTCTGCTTAACTTCACAGCCATCACAGTAGGAAATATGAGCCAGTCTTCAGTTTGGAGCCAACTTCTGCCCCTCTTAGAGCCATCTGTGCTATATCATGGCTGAAGCCTGCGTGCCGCCGAGACACCTCTGCACACAGATGTGCTTGCTGTGTTGTAAGTGCTGATGTGGGCAGAAGGGTTGCACTGAGCTCCCTGCTGCAGTTTGGGAACAGCTCCCAGTGTTTTGGGGTAAAAGAGTGGGTGGGTCTGTGTGCAGCACCAGTCTGTTACTCACAGACCTGCCCAAGTGTGTCACTGAGCACAGCAGTGTGACACGGACACGGTCCACTTGTCAACACATGGCCGTACCCAGCAGGTAGCTGCATCTCTTTGTGTCAAGTTTCTATTCCAACAGACACATGAAAAACAAAAGCACCCCCTGCAGCCAGGCCCTGCACACACGTGCAGCTCTGAATGGGGGTTTCACTCCAGCATACACTCAATGTCCTTCCAGGGCTGTGCTCACCCCGTGCTGCTCAGGTACCCACTGTTCTGGGTGGTTGCTGGGCAATTTCAGAGTTCAGATTGTGGAGGCTTTATTCCTCCTCTGTGGCTTTCTCCCATCTTCCTTCCTCGCCCAGTTCTCCACCCCTGGCTTTAAAAAGGACAAGGGATGGAGCAGCACTTATGGGGGGTAAGGGAATGGCAGTGCCCTCACTTTGATCCCACTGCCAGGAGGGTGCAAACCAACCCTTTGCAAGGACCTGGAAACAATGGGGAAATGAGGGATCTCTTGGGAGCAAAGCACATTACATCCATGCTGTTTAGGGAGGGGGAGAAAGGCTGCTGTGTAACTGCGGTGCTTCCCATGTTTTCATGAATGAGATGGGTGATGGAGCAGATGACACCTGAATTATTTTCATAGGTGAGGGCGAGCAGAAGAGGAAAGTGACTGGGTAGGAAAATCAGAATTTAAAGGTAGTATCCTTATCTATCCATAGACTGCAGTGCAGTGGGGGCCAGCGCGTGGGGCTGAGGGTTGGTGGGAACGTGGGGATGCTGGGATGCAGCCTGGCTCTGAGCTGCTGTGGCTGTGCACGGGGCAGGGATGCTTGCATGCCCAGTTGTGTACTCGTGCTGGATGGGTTCTGGGCCCATCCCTGCCCACGTGAGCAAGCGTGGAGTTAGGCAACAACCTGCCCCCTGCTCTGCCCCACCCCATGGGATGGAAACTGGAGCTCGTGCAGCCTGAAAATCCACTGTGGGAGCAGCCCTGCTGCCCTGGCACCCACATTGTTTCTGGGAGCAGAAATGCAAGCCCTTGGCTTACGTGCATGCAGCCTTCAGATCTGCACAAAAAGCCAGATCTGGAGGTGGTGTCCAGCAGCTGATCTTGGTGCCAGCAGCACACAGTGGCTGTAGCACCCACATCCACCTCCTGCTGCCTTGGCTGCTCCATTGCTGCCTGTTGGTGTGATTCCAGGTGCAGTGGTTTCTTATCAGCTGTCTGCTCAAGCTGTTTGCTGTGATTTTCTAGCCTGTATTATCCTAGAGGTGAGCAGTCATCCCTCCTGCTGTTAGCACATGTACAGCCTTTATCCACCCTTGCAAGACATGCTGATGCTGCTCAGACTTGCAAAGCCCATGATTTATTATTATCTTCTGCTTGCTTCTTACTGTGGGCTTTTCACAAAGTCTTGAAAGTAGCTTAGTTTGGACAAACCAAAAAGGCCAACTAAGGCCACAAAACCAGCTGTTCCCTTGGGTTCTCTTTTCCCCCCTGTATCTCCATCCTCTCTGTTAAAGACAGAATAAACCAGAATCTGACCGGGTGAGATGTGACATAAAATATTGCTTGGTCTGTGACTTGCAAATGGGAGGAAAATCACCCCCTTGGCTTTAGCCATGATGGTTCAAATGTGGGCCAGCAGAGCCTTCCCTGCAGGCTGGGTGGTTTGGCAGGAGCAGCACTCAGACTGCGTCCTTTTCTTCCTGCAAATACCTCTCCTTCCCTCAGAAACCCAGCCAGCTTGCTGGGTCTGCTATGACAGCAGCCACACAATGACAGAAAATTAAAGCATGGAAGAATGAAGTTATCTGTGAGTAGAAACCAGAGCAGGAAGAGAGGTCCTCCAGAGCTCCTCTTTGACTGAAGAGAGAAGCTTTGTGCTTTGGAGGTGGGCATAGGGTGATGATGCAGTGGTGAGCACTGAAGAGCAATGGTTGGGAGGGAGCTGATCCCAGCACTGTGCTGTGGGCCATTGGATGTGCAGCACCATGCCCATTGGCTGTGCAAGTCCACGCTCACCATCGCTGGTGTGTTTTCAAAGCATACAGAGCAGTGTGCCACTCCTCAGCAGGAAAGCCCCAGGCTGGGCAGCACATTCCTTCTGAGCTGGAAAACCCCTCCTGAAGTGGTGCTTCAGGTGAGTGCTTTGTTGTGTTGCTTGGACAAAGCTCTTCCATAGAGATTGCTATGGAAAACACGGGGAACCAACTGCTTCCTCCCCATTACTCGGGTTGCCATGAGCAAATATGACCCCATATGAAATCCTGCTGCTGGCACCAGGGACAAAGTTCACAGGCATGGAAGGTTTCCAGAAAAACCCTTGAGTGAAATGAATGTGGGGTCAGAATCCAGAGGCAGTGGCACGGAGGGGCTCATCCCCCACGCTGTGGCTTTGGCAGCTGTGTGACTGCTGCAGCAGTTCCTGGGTGCCAGCATGGCAGCAGGATGTGTGGATGTAAGCTGTCAAATGGCACTGCCCAAACCTGAGCCACGGCACACCAGAGAAGCGAACTGTGATGCTGGTAGGGAAAAACCCCCTGCTAACAGTAACCCCACATGCATGAGTCTTTGCTGCCCTGTCCGTGCATCCATATCACGGCCAGGTCCTTCATGAATGGGAGTGTGAACAAACCCAGTGGAGGAGAAACGTGGGTGTTATCACCCTGTGTGTGTGGGGTGTGCAGAGCTGAGCCCTCCTTTGGCACCAGCATGGCAGGGGGCTGTGAGCAGCAGCAGTCAGCAGAGCGGCCGCCTCCGGCCTTTCTCTTCTGTGCAGGAAGGAAGTGGGCTATTT